TCTTGCCCCTCTTCTCGATAGAAGCCAGGAGAAGTGTTTGACGATTTTTTATATTTATATTTATATTTTAAAATATTTAAAAAATAAATTATTATTTCAAAGTTTTGCAAAACTATACTCCTACCGTCTTACCGTAGGCGGGGAACTATACTCCTATGAGATGCCACATCACACAGATTGTCTTATCGTAGGGTGATTTACATGCCTCGCCTTACGGTAGGGCGGGAGGGATATATTTTTATAAAACTTTTAAATGATAATTTATTTTTTAAATCTTTTAAAAATTAAATAAAAAATAAAAGAAAAATCAGAATTTTACTGTTTGAGAATTGAGAGCACATTGTTGACTGTTCCCTGCTCTCGGAGCAGTCGAATTCGTCCCGGCACGCGATTTGACAAAGGTAGCTTCGTCTTTCACGATCCATCTGCCAAGAGCCAAGCATCATACTGACATACTCCTACCTAACTTTATCAGGTGCAGTATCTTCAATCAAACTCTCACGAAATGACGATTTCTAAAGACCATCATAGTCCTTTGCTTTGTTGTTGCGAACTGTGGAAAGAAAAAATCAACGTCGGCGAAAAAGACCCGGCAAATTGCATCGGCAGAACGAAGATGTGGCCTTCACCGGATGATCGATCGATCGATCGACCAACCGGCTGAAACAAGGCGGGCGCCGTCGTCCCTCCGGATGACAAGTGGCGGAAAAGTAGTTCGAGCCGGCGTGGTGGTTGTTACCGACGGAGGCGAAAATCGGCGCATGTATATACTTCTTTCGTTTCAAACTGAACAATTATACCATAATACTATAAATTGGATACAATATGTCATATCCCATACTTGATTGATTTATTTTAGGATAGATAGAGTATGTATGAATTATGACAGGTGACGTAGTGTACGTGCTTTGATAAACAAGAAATGTATGGTGCAGCATGTGTATGCAAGGGGTAAAGAAGAAGCCACGCAAAGGAAAAGATGGGTGAGATGAGGAGGTTGAGGATGAGATAGCTCCCCTTGGAAAGATGCAATATATAGAAGCCTAACCTAAGCACTAGGCTAGTTTGGTGATAGTCTTCTTGAGCAACCGATGGCCAAGCAAAGCCTAGCAGTAGATGATGTAGGATAACAGCACTATGTTAGAGTGCTAGCGATGGCTAGGATCGGCTGTTGTCGGTGACAATTGACACTAAAATTGTTTGGGATAATAAGGGATAGTTTATCCACCATAGAAGATGTATTTCTCTCCAAGTAACTTATTTAGTTAGGGTTCCTATGGTTAAACTTATCCATTTGGATTTGAGGCCAGATTTGATGTATGAGGTAGTACATGCATACACCAATACATTCAGTATTCAATTCTTGTATCCACGCTATATGAGACTAGATCTTTTGGAGAAGAAGACTGACGCCCAGTTTTACTAGAAAGCATAAGAGTTTGTACATATTCAAAAGGCTGGGGATTCTAGTTTACAAAAGAATTTAAAAACGTACAAATAAGATACACAAAGGATTGAAGTTTCACAACATGTTGAATACTAAAAAAACAAAACCATAGGAATTACTCAAAACATATGTTTGGATGACTCATAGAAAAATGCATTAATTAGTTTACCGCATCTCACTATGCCACAAGTGTGTCATGCCACACAAAGTGAGGCTAGCAATTTGTTGCTACAAGTGTGGCTAACATTGGCGAGAATTTGAGTCTATGACGCGTAGGCCCAATGACTAGCAAAATAAGACATGAAAGAAGTGTGGTAACCAACCAAACACTATATTAACAAATAGTGGCATGCCTAAGGTTTGGCATGGCAACCATTTTGAGCCAACCAAACAGCCCCTAAGACTACGTATAACTTATATTAGAAAGAGAAAGTTTGCATTGGACTTCTCAAAAGAAAAGAGAGTGCATGCTTTAATCCTATGAAATCGACGCACAGGGACATATACCATTGGAATTCGACAAGTTCTGGGCTCCTTTGGAACATGAAAATTTAGAAACGTAGGAATAGGAAAAATATAGAAATGAACGTCGTGACATATACAATTTTATAGGAATTGAACATAGAGGAAAACATGTTGTTGAGATACTCCATATATAGAAAACTTACAGGAATTTAAGAGGGAAAATAGTACTAAAATAGAGTTGATAGGAGAGATGAAGAGAGAAAGTGCCTTGGACTTCTCCAAGGAAATCAATATATGAGGTTTGAGCTCATGTTTGAAATCCTCCAAAAAGTGGAAGAAAGGAATAGTTCCTAGGAAATTTGTTAGCTCAATCCTACATTAATCCAAAAGATCATGTAGCAAAAGTTCCCATAGAATTCAAATCCTTTAAAAATCCTACATAATTCCTTTGTTCCAAAAGAACCCTCAAATTCTTTGATCAAAAGGACGGATCAATATCCTCCATTTTTCATATAAAAATCCTACGATTCAATGTGTATGAGAGCGTGGGTATGTGTGTGGATGTGAGTATGGTGTGTTGTGTCATATTGTACTAAGGTGCAGGCAACTCATGCATACAACACTCATAAATGTACATACGTGTACATGATCCCTAACACGCATCACACTAGAGAATGGAGTGTGCTAAACCCTAAGCCTCCAAAGATGCTTAGGGCTTATTCGGAATGCAGGATTAAAAAAACATTGTAATAGGAAAATCATAGAAATGTGATAGGAATGCACGTATAAAACAGAGGATTGAAAAACACAGGAATGCTATATAAACATGTGTTCGGATAGAGCGTTGGAAAAACATAGGAATTTTTAAAGAATTTACCCACTGACTAAAATCTTCATGTGTCAGAGGAGTGAAGCTTGTGGAGATTAGTTTGTTGATTGCCTCGTTCCCATACATAGGAAAAATAAAAAGAGCTCGGAGTGGATTGTTAGTTTTCCTGTGGAATGGATGGCCAAGGAAATTTTCCTTCGGATTTTCTCCGATTTTCCTACAAGCGATTCTTCTGATCCGAATGCTGCTACAGTACCCGAATCCATAGGAATGCAAATCCTATATTTTTCCTAAGTTTACCCTCCGATCCGAATAAGCCCTTAAGGTCCTGTTCCGAAAAGAAGTCGGTGAAAATATGGAGAAATCATATTCTGGCTTCTAATTTATTTTTTTTATTTCTACAATAGCAACTTCTCAAAATTAGAATGAAAATCTGTACCATTCGAAGAAGCCTTATATTCTAGAAAAGATTGCAGCTATCATAAGTTTTTTTTGGACAGACAGAGTACTGAACAATTTATCAGAATCTGTAGACTATTCTTTCCCATATAGGGGTGGAAACGAGCCGGCTCGGCTCGGCTCGGCTTGCAATGGCTCGCAACAAGCTAGGCTTGGCTTGGCTCGGGTCGGTTAGAGAAACGAGCTAAAACATGAAGTTCGGCTCGGCTTGTTTTCTGGCTCAAGCCAGCTCGAGCTGGCTTGCGAGCCTTCCGTTGAAGCTATATAATTTATAATCATTAAGAAAAGCAATAACAAATTAACAACATGTAAAATTAAAATAACTTTATATATTCAATTCATCAAAATATAGGCGATAAATTACATATTGACAAATAATAACTCCACTAGAAAATAAAATTATCCATATAAATACATGATGGCATAGGCTCACGATCCAAATCAAGCGGCTCGCGAGCCAGCTCGGGCTCAGCTCGTTTCAGAAACGAGCTGAAAAGGAGGCTTGGGCTTGGCTCGTTTGGCATTCAAGCCGAGCCGAGCTAAGCGAGCTCGAGCCAAGCCCGAGCTGAGCTCACAAGCCCAAGCTTTTTTTTCACTTCTATTCCCATATATTCCCAACTTCTCTCCCTCGTTTTCCGCTTACATGCTTTTCAAATTGCTAAACGTTACGTGTTTTGTAAAAAGTTTATATATAAAAGTTGCTTTAAAAAATTATATTATCTATTTTTTAAATTTTTTATAGCTAATACCTAATTAATCATGTGATAATCTATTGCTCTGTTTTTCGTACGGAGGGGAGGGGCCGGTTTCCCAACCCCTCGAAAAAGAACGCGGCCTTAGAGAAGCTTTTAATTGTGGGAGAAGCCACGGCTCTTGAAAGCTACCTCAACCTCAACACGTCCATTGAATTAGAAAATACGATTATACGAACCACACCTGTATGCATCCTATGTAACGTGAGCGGCAGCTCCAAACCAAACGCTCGTTTAGCATAAACCGCTCACAACCGTCGATTTGTCGATCGAACGGCCGCTGTATCCCGGCGGCGCGCCCCAGCCGCCGCAACCGTTCCCAAGGAGAATTTCAGAGGGACCAAACACGAAAAACACCCGCCTCCATTATTTGGAGCCGTATCCGTCATCTGCACAGCGACCATCCATCCCCCCCACTGCCTCGCCCCCGCCCCCAGTAGCGATCTCCACCGAGCCCGTCCCCCTCGCTAGCTAGCTTTCCCGGACTCTTCTCCTCCTATCCCAATCCTAAACATTATGAATTATCCTCTGCATTATTGCCTGGAAACCAATCAGTTTTAAAATCAGTCCACTCCTTGTTACTAAACGACCAAATGATGATCAGGTTATCGTAAGGGGAAGGATCTCTCTCTGAAAGACCGAAACGATCGCTTGCATTTCGCGAGAAACAAAATGCAGAGCTAGCGATCGAGGTGACAGATGACGATGCAACGTAATGCGTATACCCAGATCGTAGCGCCCGGATCGCGCGTGGTTCACGTATCGGTCGCCGTCGCGTTGCTTTCGCGGGGCAAGGAGCGCATTGAGAGAGTGATCGCTACCGTCGTGTGTCGTCGCTAAGTGAATTACTAGTGTAGCCTAGTTGTCGATTAATGCTAAAAAAAATTCTCAAAGATTCTAGGAGTACACTTGCGTTGTCTTAATACGCACGCAGCGGTGTGGCTGGCTAGTGGCTACTACTGATCCAATTATTTGATGAGACACCCATGGTTGGTTAGTTTGATTACATCATCTTATAATTATTTTTTTTCTTATGTGTGTATATATATATACGCGCACTTGCCGTTCTCTGCATTTGCCGGGACAAAGTCGAGAGCTAGAGGAAGCTAAGCTAGGCTAGAGCGAATCAGCTGGGTTGCTAGCTTTGGTTGCTCACTTTGCTCTGCTTTTGCCTCGCCTTGGCTGAGCTCTGCTCGGCTCGGTTCGTGCATGGCCGTAGGAGCAGCTGCCACCGCGCGCGGCGTGCTCCGCTCTGCATGGGCCTGCAGCTCGCCGTCCGGCCTCCGGCAGCCGTGACCGGCCGGCCGCGCGCCGTTTGAGCGAGCGTCGTCGTCGACGCCGGGGTTCCATCGCTGTGTTTGTTGACTGAGCAAGCAAGCGCGATGCCTCCTCTGACGCCGCACATCGAGAAGGGCTACGCCGGTGGCCGGCAGAGCAGGCAGCAGGAGGCGTCGGCTGCGGCGGCGGCGGCGGCGGCGGCGGCGGGCGGGCAGCTGCTGCTGCAGCGGGGGCCGGGGCAGCGGTCGGCGTCGTTCCACGGGCGCGGCACGGAGCCGTGGCACCAGCTGGCGAGGCAGAGGCCCAAGACGCAGCCGGACCTGCTCGCCGGCGTGAGGGGGAGGGCGACGGCGGCGAGCTTCGGCCCCGCCGCGGCCGCCGGCGGCGGCGAGCAGCTGGAGCCGGAGGCCGCCGGGAGGAGGACGCCGAGCAAGGTGCTGGTGAGCGTGGCGGTGCAGCGGAGCCTGTGGCCGCTGCACGTCATGGCGTCGGCGGCGTGGAGCGTGGCCGACCTGGTGGCCGCCGCCGTCGCGCTCTACGTCAAGGAAGGCCGGCGGCCGCCGCTGCCGTCCGCCGACCCGTCGGACTTCGGCCTCCACTACTCCCAGTTCAGCTTAGAGAGTAAGTGCGCGTTCTAACTGGATAATTTGATAGATTACGGACAAAGAAAAGAATATTCACTTGGATGAATGAAATATTATAAAACTAAAGAAATAATTTAGAATATGTTATCTAAACAATGATGATGTAGATTTTTTTTAAAAAAAAATAAATCGTGCTTTTTAAGAGCATATGATGACATGAACAATCCATACATGAATAATCGTGCTTTTTAATTATTAAGATGGAGTATTTAGAACACGCTCGACTGCATCTTGCACCACCTGCATATGCACTTTGATATCTTATTGTTACTGTTTTGTGACAAAAATTTGCACCAAAGTTTCATCTCATTTCATCTTTTATCCAAATCAAGAACGTACTCCATACACTTAAAACTGGATCAGATCAATCCATTCATGTTAGTACTACTCTGATGGTGATACTAATCAGACCAATCCATCCAAAGATTCCTAAAGATGCATTGGTCAACTGCTGCCTGGGCCATGTGTCACTGAGATATTTTCCTCTGCTCGAACACTTTGGCCCCGTCAGACAGGCAGGTCGGCTTCAAGCCTAAAATATCAGCTTAGTTATACCACCTTGGCTGAAAGCCTGAAATAAATGAAGCCAATACGAGTTGTTCTGATCATACAGTTCAGGTTCAAATGGTATAACAATATTCAGGCATTAAATTAGTGAAAAATATGACACTAGGTTCATCTAGTTCTTTCACTGAATTAATGTGCTTCTGTCTTAAGTTCTAATCCACCATTGATCCGGTGATAAATCTTTACGGTTGCTTAGGTTTGGACCCAAGGGAAAAGGTGATGGAACTGGGTTCCAGGAGCTTCTTCCTCTGCCCAAAATCTTCAGCTGCTGTTCATGCTCCATCACCTTCCTGCTCCTCTGATGAAGCAAGCAGGATCAGGGATAGGGATGCTCCTGCAGCTGCAAGAGCAGGCGCAGCGCCGGCTTGGGTGAGCTACATGCAGTTCTGGCCCATGATGTAGAGGTAGCTGGTAGCTACATCTCGTATACAGACATATGTATTTGTATCCTAGACTGTTCAGAATAGTTCATGTTCCCCGGTGTGTGTTTGTACAATAGTAGCTCTGTGGATTCAAGAATCAAGAACAGGGTCAGAATTTCTGATGTATTTGAAAATTACCGATGGCCCAGATGAATAACCGAATAGATTTGTCATCTGGGTGACAATTGGCAGCAAATAATAAAGCTTCAGAAGATGGTAGTGTAGATATGAAGGGTTTCTTTGGTAAGGAATTTTGAATGATTTTCACACGAATTAGTTCATTTTCTTAAAAGTTCCCGCAAAATCCCTCTGATCTAAAGGAGGCCGTAGTACTAGTGTGTTTGTAATATCCTCTTTGGTGCAAAATTGCCTGGCTCACAGGACAACGGCAGATTCAGAAATGTTGAATGGATTTGTGCGTGATCAGGACAGTTTTAAAGCTTATTTGTTGGAAATAAAGTCGTTATCGTGGAACACTAAGCACGTTTATGTTGCTATCTTTTGTGTCCATAACTAATTTTTGGAGGTAAGCAGCGGATGATGACTGACGTGTGGATTATACATGGGAGAAGGAAATCTACATGCTATAGCCCTGCCTTTTGTTTTGCTTTTGTCCATCTCTTTCATGAAGAAGAGATGTGTCGTTCATCATCTGCAGATGCAAATCAAACTTCTCTTTTGCACCAAAGATCAGCACACTGAATGGTTAAACAGAAAAAATGGCTGACATCATGGGTGTAGCTGTTTCAGATTCCTTCTAGAATTCAGGATAGAGTCAGATGACAAGATATAGAACATAACATAAACTGAAATTGGAAAAAGTACGAATTACCCCTCGAATTATCGCGGTCGTCCGAATTACCCCCTAAACCACAAAACTGGACATTTTTCACCCCAAACTATGTAAACCGGACGAATTACCCCCGGTGGTTTTGGTCTACGTGGCATACACGTGGCATCCAGTCAGCGTTTTCTAATAAAAAATTGTGGGACCCGCATGTCATAGTATTCACTTTCCCTCTCTCTCACTCTTCCTCTCCTCTCTCTCTCTCACTCTATCTCACTCTTCACTGCTTCGGGAAGACACGGCGGCAGCGGGAGACACGGAGGAGCGGGCGGCGGGCGGCGGAAGGCGGCGCGGGCGCGACGCACGGGGGCGGCCGGCGCACGGGGGCGGGCGACGAGGTGCCTCTCCGCATACCGCTCCGCGCGTCCCGTGGCGAGGTCGACGGCGTCGACGAGCCACCGCGCGCGGTCGGCATCGTAGCGCGCCGAGCGGACCTCGCGGCGGATGCGGGTGCGGGGGAGGTTCGGGAGGGAGCGGCGGCGGCGACCGCGCGGGGCGCAGAGTCATCCTCGTGCGGTTGCTCTTCCGTTGCCGGGCTTTTCCGCCGCCCGCCTCTCCGCGGCCGCTCGCCTCCCCTGCCTTGTCCGCCTCCCGCCTCTTCGCCGCCGCTCGCCTCGCCCGCCTCGTCCGCCTCTCCGCCGCCGCCCGCCTGCCTCTCCGTCTCGTCGACGCCGTCGACCTCGCCACGGGACGTGCGGATCGGTACGCGGCAAGGCACCTCGTCGCCCGCCCCCGTGCGCGTCGCCGCGACGCCGCCGTCCGCCGCCCGCCCCCGTGCGCCGCCGCCCGCCGCCCGCTCCTCCGTGCCTCCCGCCGCCGCCGATAGAGTGAAGCAGTGAAGAGTGAGAGAGAGAGAAGAGAGGAAGAGTGAGAGAGAGAGGAAAGTGAAGACTATGACATGCGGGTCCCACAATTTTTTTTATTAGAAAACACTGACTGGGATGCCACGTAGACCAAAATCACCGCGGATTTGATCGAGGGGGGTAATTCGTCCGATTTGCATAGTTTGGGGTAAAAAAATGTCCGGTTTTGTGGTTCAGGGGGATAATTCGGACGACTCCGATAGTTGGGGGGGGATTCGTACTTTTTCCACTGAAATTCTATTAGTTATTCAGATCCATCTAGTATAGAACGCCACATTGACCGGCCAGCATACAACGCACGCACAACATACTTGAAGTTTAAAGCCGATATATTGACAGAATTACAGAATAGCAGAATTGCACAATATTGCATCAGGCGATTACTGATACAAAATAACATTGTTATCATCAAAATACGCCAATAGGAAAATCAAGAGATAATTCTAGCCACAGAGGGGTCTTGTGTTCGTAATAGAACTGTCCCACCTCTCGCCATTTTCAAGATAAAGATGATTGCAAGAATGGCAAAGAAAAGAGATAAAATGCTGTTCCCCAATACAACACTAAACTTCAACAACAGCCTTACAAGGTTACAGCCCTACTTTGATGCGGTTACCCGTGAACCAATTTATACAAGGATACATGCCCATCAAACTAATCTAATCTACATATCACATTACAAATGGATACTACAATTTTTTTTCTCCTCCGTTGTAGAGAATTGGCACTGAACAGATAGTACACAACAAGCATCCCAGACAAATCAAGGTGGGAGCCTTCTGTCCAAGGAACATGCCCGCTCTCGCATCCACAAAAATCAACCAATATGCAGGCTACCCCCATAGTACGGGCATGACCCAATGCTCTACCGCAGCTAACCTTCTTAAAGTTTATGTAATCCTTCCTGATTGGTCAACTAATGTACCTACTTGATCCCCACAAATTGCTTTGGAGATATTGCCAGGCTCTAACATGTTGAAGATGACAACTGCAAGAAATGAACACATAAAAATCATCTTATGAACACCGCAAAAACAATAAGAACACAACTTTGTAATGGCTAGTGCATGGAGGCTGACCAGGAATATTATTTTCCTGACAACATGTAATCGCTGTCATATCCATTCTGCTGAATCCTCTAGCCGCTAACTCCCTAAATGAGATGTGCTCAAAAGGTGGATTGTTGTTGCCCCTAGGAGGACAACCATAATCGTCATCTCCGGCGGTACCTTTAAGCACAACATCTGCATTGACTGGTTGACAACAAATCTAATCAGATATATGTCAATGCAAAAATAATCACACCTAAGAAATGGGAACAGTCAATTCAAGCTCATTAACCAAAGCCACAAGAAGCCGCTTTAGGAGGGAATTTCAGCAACATACTTTCAGAAGCTCTCAAGGCAGCAGCTGTATCTGTGGTGAAAAGTGGATTTCCTATGCCAGCACCAATACCAGCAAAGATAACGACCCTTCCTTTTTCAAGATGGCGTATGGCTCGTCGCCTTATGTATGGCTCTGCAACTTCTTGCATCATCAGTGCAGTTTGGACTCGTGTCTCCACACCTATCTTTTCTAGTGACGCTTGGAGCAGTACTGCATTCATCACTGATGCCATCATCCTGACAAAATTCAAAGAGACTGGCATAAATATAAACAGATAAAGCAAAATTAGATCATCATGTCAAAGGAAAACATGATTCCATTGGTCATTTCTAAGTTACATAATGTAATCTGTGCCTAATTACTGATCGTACCACATGTGCTTGAACTGGAGCTACCAATTCTGGTGTTCATTAGATACATATAAGGAATGTGCATGGTGAAGATCAGGATACAAAACATCATGCAACTATCAAAAGGACTATTTGGGACCAATGCTGCATCTGCATGACTGCATCACATCACCCAATTTCGAAATGGATCAAAACAATAGCATGGAGGCTTAATGTAGAGACTGAGCTTAGTAGTCTGCTCTGGATTAGCAACTGCAAAGAACTGTCCAATTGTATGATCAATGAATTATACTGGTAATAGTGAAGTCCAATCAGTTAAATAAGCATCTGTAGTCCTTTAGGCTTTAGCTCAATTACCCCACGGACATTAAAAAATTACCATGGCAGCATGCCTCTAATGACTTCCAGCCAGTCACAAATACATGATACACAACAAGAATGCAAACAGTTCCAAAGAGGTTTTACTAGCATCCAAAGGCAGCCAGTCTTTGACCAATCAGGCAATCAGTGCAATGGGAAGGGAATATGATCAAGAAGGTTCTGTAAATAATTTTATTTGCTGGCAAAGTGGGATTTTTGTTCACATTCTGGCGATCATGACCTTCCAAAACCTTCATGGTACAGTAGCATGAAAGAGTAGAACACAAGCAGGACAAACATTGATAGCAAATAATAATGAAAACGAGTGTTAACTGTTTACAACAACACTGATTCTGAGGAAGTTACCCGATTGAGTATGTTGAAGCTCTATCAGTGCCCGTTGCAGAAACCCAAGTGTCGCCGCAGAATATATTCCGACCTCCCACAACAATTGACACCTGATTGGACCAAAGTAATATTAATTCGGCAATCATTGATTGCAATCGGTAAAAAGTATCTCCAGAGTTGATGTGTTTTCATTTACCTCAACACCATGGCGGCATGCCACTTGAACTTCTCGGGCAATCAGCATAATTACCTGGCAAGATCACAAAGTTTTGTGTGAAAATTCAGGACAGCATCAGACTGGGTGGACGCATAGCTAACAAAATACCTTAGGATCAACATTTTGAGGAGGCGCTCCAGCCAATGCTGTGCCCCCAATCTTGAGAAGCACCCTTTTCCATTTTGGATTTGATGGAGGGGCCAATCTGGAGCTGCCGCCGAAGGTGGGGGTGCTACTGCCAGAAGGAGCGTGCCTGCGAGGCGATGCAAAGCATTAGTTCGTCACTACGACCATCAGATCCCCGAACTAATCAACGCCAAAGATGCAAAGGAGGAGCCACCTTTTGCTGCTATGCTGCTGCGGTTGCCGTGGCTTGTTGTCGTCGTCGGAGGCCACCAACGCCTTGGAGGAAGCGGGAGAAGACGAGTTGCCGACGATCTGCTCCATCTTCTTGAACCAGGGCCAGTGGCTGACGGCAGAGGCCCCCGAGCCGGCGAGCCGCTGGCACTCCACCTTGTACCGCTTCTTGAGGTTGTCGATCTTGTTCTTGCACTGCTCCACGCTCTTGCCCCCGCTGCTCTTGCCCTGCCCGTCGGTCACGGCGGCGGCGACGTCCTCCCAGTCCCGACCCCGCAGGTTCCCCCGGTTGAGCTGCTCGAACCGGTCCGTGTACGAGTCGAGGAGGCTGCTGATGGCGCCGTCCGTCCACTCCTCCCGGTCCTTGCGGTACTCCGACGAGCCGGCCGCGACCCCGCCCCCGCCACCGCCGCCCCCGCCGCGGCCCTTCTTCCCCGCGCCGCCGCCACCTCCGCCGCTGTTGAGGTAGGAGCAGTACTCTCCCCCATCGCTGAACTCCTCCGCCCGGTCCCTCCCCCGCTTGGAGTGGTGCGCCGCCGCCGCCGCCGCCTTCCCTCGCTCCGCGCTGTGGTTTCCCTCCTCCTGCCCCATCGGAGCGAAGGGGCCCACGCCCGCCCCGGCCCCGGCGACCGAGGCCGCATCGCCGAAGCAGAAGGCCTGGGCCTGCTGCTGCGGCGGCGGCGGCGCGGCCTGCGACGACGCCGCCGCCGCCGCCGCCTCCTCCTCGGGGACGGGGCCGTCACCGAGGAGACCGAAGTCGTCGTCGCAGGAGGCCATCGTATCGTGGGTGGTGGTGGCGGCGTTAGGGCTACGCGCCGCGCGGGCTCCGCTCCCCGGCCACGGCGGCGGCGGCGGCAAGCGGCGGCGTCGTTGGCGTTAGGGGGGGAGGGGGGTGACGACGTTACGCCCGCCCCGCGCGGCCGGTGGCGATGGCGCTCGCCGCCGCGCTTGGGTTATGGGGGGGGATTGGGGGCGACCCACGGAGCCGTCACGGATCGCTCACGGCTCCGTCACCTCTCGGCGCGTTACACGTTGGGAGCGAGGGGTAGTAGTGGGGCCCACGGCGCAGCGGGAAAAAAAGAAGTGGACCCCACCGGTCGGTCCCATATACGACGGGCTTTGGAAACTATGACCGTTGACTAAGCACCGTTTGAGCTGATCTGAATTCGGACAAGTTTATAAAGCTGGGAACTATTTTATGTGGCGGTGAATTTATAACTACTTCATTCATTTCACGATATAAGTCATTTTAGTATTTTCTATATTTATATTGATATTATATATAAATGTGAAAAATAATAGAATAACTTATATGATGAAACGAAGGGAGTATAATCTTTATCACTAATGCGTGAGTCCTTTAATATCAGTAAAATTTTTGTACTCTCTAACTCAAATACAAATACTCCTCCTGATCTCTAATTTCTAATCTATCATTTGATTCCGTGGATGTTCACAAGAGGGAACCGAGCATTATTGACCATAGGTCGTTGACTCGCTGAGAATCAATGTTTTATGTTAAGCTATTAGCTATTGTGGCTTGGGTAATTATACTGCTATAAACAATACATTGGACCTTACAATTTAGGCCATGCTGCTAGACTGCCGGTTTCATATGCAGTCACTTGTGTTCACTCACATCTTCACAACAATAGCATAAAGTCTTCTATATACTGCTATATAGAAAGTTTGAAAAACGTATTAGTGGAAACGGAGGTAAAATCTAAATTTTAATCAGAAAAGAACCGGACCAACGCAAGCGAACTTACAGCTAGCAGTCAAGAACCACAAGAATATCCATCAATCAACCATTCAACAGCCCCAAAGAGTCAAAATATTTATGCACGTATAACGTTTTATTTAAGTTTGAGGCGACAAGCAATTAGAATCCATATACATTTTAGTCGCCGCAATGTAGGTCCATTAGTCCTATTGTGCTCCGTCTTGTGCGAGTCATTAAAAAAAATGCCAAAAAAAATTTTCCAGATAGGCTCATGAATTTCACAAAATGAATACTCCTACCTTTTTATTTAGGATGGAAAAATGATAACCCAAAATATCCCAAGATAATTTCCTATAATATTTGGAACTGCCAAGTAGTTTCAATGAAATATTGTGGTTCAAGACTGTATAAAACAGATGTGACGTGATGATATCCGAGGTTACAGGACCAATCTTATCTGTAGAGATGGAAAAAGATGGATTCAAACATGAAGTTTTACTACAGCTGGATATCTTGAACGAGCTAAAAGATATTCCATGTTGTAATTTGCACTTAATACATGTCACTGTACCAGCGATGTTTGGAAGAGAACAAAGAGTCCTGCTTCTCAGTTCAGTTTAGAGATTTAGGGAATTTATCTCCTAACCAATAGGTTTTGAGAGTTGAACAAAGAAAGCGTATTTGAGAAAGAATATAAGCTGATAGCATTATATTGTATTATAAAAAGGCACACCTTTAAACTGAGATTACCAACCAACATGAAATCCTTTGGTACTGCAGTTAAGAACAATATCGGAGTGAAACTTGACAATTTGCAATGCCCATAGGCAGGTGCCCGCAAGAAAAACGTATGCAACACGATAAAAATCGTTCAAGATGCAAAATGCAAATTAAAACGCTAAATTTTGAACAAAACTTTAATCAGAAGAAAAAATTTTCTAACTATATTTTTTCTAACTATATTCTTCTCAAATCCCTTAACAGAACACTAAAGAATCCTTAATTTTGCCACGTAGCTTCATCAATATCAATTCTACAAGCTAGACAACATCTTCAAGTTTCAACAGCGGTGTAGATTCAACAACACTAGCAGATTAAGTAGTTCTAGGGTACCAACGAATAGCACATGCAAAGATTGCTGTGAGCACGCTATGATGATATGCAAGAAACCATTCTAATTGGCAAATCAGTTCATCTTTGTTCTGCAACAAATGCAAGTATAGGTCCAAAGTAAAATTCTCTGCAGCCATAAGTAACCATTCCAAATGTCGCACAATGGTTGTCCAACAGAAAAAGGTTGAATATCCAAACTGAAAAGACTGGATTGAGCATTGGAACTCAATGCAGAACAATCAAATATTACTCCCATCACATCACAGTAATACTAATTGCAAAAGTAATAATCAACAAGCTTGTGTAAACCTGCTTCGGGTAATTTCATTCATTTGGCAACTTCGAAGGGTTCTCCAACACAACACATGTTATTATTAATCCCGCTAAATAAATTAAAGCACTGCAATGCAAAGTGTTAAAACAAACCTAATAAACTTACATGATATAAACGATATTATTGATGTAAGGATTGGTGGATGATGAATCATTCTCGAACGCCTTCGTTCACAAGCTGATTAAAGCCTACGGCGGATGCCGAGGCGTTTGGCGTTCTCCTCCAACGTCAGGTCAGCTCCTTCCTTGAGCGCCTTGGTGAAGGACGCGCCGGACTTGTTGAACTCGAGGACATGGCGCGCCTTGTCCTTGAACATCCCGAACCGCCGGAGCATCTCGTCGTGGCTGCGCTCCGCGCCGTAGAAGTCGCGCCACCGCTCGTACAGCGCCCACACGGCCTCCTCCGACGCGACGTCCGCCTCGTCGTACTGGATGTAGTCGGCGGGGTCGACTGCAAATGCAATGAGGAGGCTATCGATGATGCGCCGCCGGCGCGGCGGCCATGATGATGACGGGTGTACGTACGTTGCTGTTACTTACGTGGAGCAGTTGGGTCGTAACAAGAGGGGTGCAATTCCTCGTCATCTTGCTCGGGTTCGGCGGGAGTATAGCCGCCGCCGCCACCGCCAGGGATCGTCGAGAGTCGGCGGCGGAGGAGGCGAGTAGGTCCTCCCCATGGTGCGGCGGCGGCAGCGGCGGCGGCGAGCGTGGTGTACGCAGCGAGCCCACGCAGAGGAGAGCAGAGGAGAGCGAGGAGCGAAGCGGCAGAGGTTCAGTGCCAAACGACGAGCGGCGAGGGCGGCGGCCGTGGATGCCATGGCAGCCAAGTGGCCGTCGTATGGGATTCCGAATTTCCGATCTGGTGATTCTACTTCCTCCAACTCCAAGTTCCGGATTTACCGGTATTGCAGTTAAGAACATTATCACCGTATAAAACTATCTGCATTTACAGATATACTATCGTCATGTGTGTGCTACTGTGCTTGCAAGAAAGAGGCATACAACACGTAACAGTCCTTCAAGATGTGAAAGAAATGCAAATTAAACACCAAAATTTACACAGACCTGTATCAGCAGAAATATTTTTCATAGGCAAAATATGCAATCCCTTAACAGAATATAAGAAACATTGCTATTTTTTTCTGAAGTAGTAGCTTGCAACCAATATCAATACTGCAAGCAAGATGGCATCTTCAAGTTTCAGGTTTCAAAATGACTCACCAATTAGTAACAGATTACCTAATTCAGGGTAGCCATGAATAGCACATACAAACATTGTTATGTACCTGTGATGATGATATGCAAGAAACAATTCAAATTGGTAAACCAGTTCATCTTTGACCTGCAACAAATGCAAATAAGCGTATATGCCCGAAGTAAAAAAATCTGGTAGATACTAGTAACTACTTCAAATTTCACACTGTGGTTGTTTAACGACAAAAGTTGAATTTCAAAACTTACTCGACTCAGAATAACCAAATTGTTATGCCATCCAACTTTAGGTAGATACCAAAGAACAGATAGCGCCAAGCGATAGACAGCGAATGCATAACACCTCACGAGAAACAACAAGCTTGTATAAGCCCGCTTCAGGATATTTCATTTGGCAATTTAGAAGGATTCTCCAACATCAAGTTTTCCTTGAAGTTGATACTGCTATTGATTTGTAAATCATGACAATGGAAACTCAGTCAGGATCAGACTGGCAACTGAGGTGGTTTACAAGGAGCAACCTAGCACAGTTGACTGTTGCGTTCACCAACAAGAACAGGCATACACAAGTGTAACTAACACAAACAAACTTCCCGCTGCCAAATTTCACGAGTATATTCATCAATCACCATTAACCAAGCCCTCAGAGAGTTAAAATCCTTATGCATATATAGTTTCATGTAAGTTCGAGGGAACCAAGTGGCATCCATGTATATCTTTTGTCGCAGTAATGCAGACCTGTTGGTCATGCAAACCTGAAAAGTAAGAACTAAGAAATATGAATGTATGATCGTAGATTTCCATATGACATTCAACAAAGTGTAGATATCGAAACCGAAAGAACAGGCACATAGTTTTACCTAATTAAGCTTTTCACCATGTAACCATCATTTGAAAATGGAAAGTACACTTTAGCAGCATAATGTATCATCAGGGAAAGAGTTGATTTGGCAAGCTTGTTGGATTGTGTTATTGATGCAGCAACAGTTAATGCCAGAGAGATTTTTCCCAAAAAGGCTCATGAGTTTCATAAAATATCCCAAGATTGGTTGGTTGGTTGGCAAGGAAGGATCACAATACTACAAGATAATTGAAAATATCCCAAGATATTTTTTATAGGTTACTGCCAAGTTACGGTTCAAATGAAATATTATGGTTCAAGTTTGTATATCGGATGATCAGATACAATGAACAGATCAAGTCCAATATGGGAATTACCGAATTAAGATGGATTCGAAGATGAAATTGTACTGCAGTTGGCAATCTTGAATGAGCTAAAAGAAATATCATTTTGTAATTGTAAGTTAAACATATCACTATACCAGCAATGTTTCAAGATTTAAAGAATTGAGAGATGAACAAACCAAAGCTTGAGATAGAATACTAATTGCTAGTATTCACATCTTTTAAGCTGAGATTACCAACAAATATGAATTCCGTCGACATTGCAGTTAAGAACATTATCAGCATGAAACTTATCCATTTGCAGAGTCTATAGTCAAGTGCCTGCAAGAAAAATGCATACAACACAACAACAGTCCTTTAAGATGCAAAATACAAATTAAACACTGGACTTTAAACAAACCTTTATCAGTTAAATATTATTCTAACTATGTTCTTCTGCAATCCCTTGACAGAATGTTAAGAAGCCTATAATTTTCTTAAAGTAGCTTGCAACCAATACCGATACTGCAAGAAAGACATCATCTCCAGGTTTCAACAAACAGGTGTAGATTCAACAACAGTAACAGATTAAGTAATTCAGGGTAGCTCTGAATAGCACATGCAAACATTGCTATGTAATTTGTAATGATGATATGCAAACAACCATTCAAATTGACAAATCATTTCATCTTTGATCTGCAACAAATGCATGTAAAGGCCTAAAATAAAATCTTCTGTAGTTATTATAAACTACTTCAAATTTTGTACATTGGTTGTCTAACAGCAAAGGTTGCATTTCCAAACTTGAAAGATAGGTTTGAGCGTTGTAACTAAATTCAGAATAATTAAGTTATTACGACATCATAGTAATAATTGCAAAAGTAAAAAAAAAAATCATTTGTAGAGTAGCAAACAGTACAATTGCTAAGTTTACCCAAGTTTAAATAGATACCCGAGAACACAGTTTCAGGCAATAGATATCGAATGCATAATAACATACAAGAAACAACGAGCTTGTGTAAACTTCCTTCAGTATATCTCATTTTGCATTTGGCAACCTAGAACAGTTCTCCAACATCAAGTTTTTTCTTGAAGCGGATACTGTTATTGAATTATATCATGACAATGGAAACTCAGTCTGTCAGGATCAGATTGGGCACTGAGGTGGTTTACAAGGAGCAACCTAGCTCGGTTGACGGCTGCGAAGTAGAGGCAGATGTGCTCCTCGAGGTCAGCCAGCTGGCGTAGCAGGCTCGGGTGGTTCTTCCTCAGCTGCCGTACCACCTCCTCTATGGTGTGGTGCTCCCCCCTGCCACGCTCCAGCCCCAGCCGGACCAGCAGCTTGTCACTCTCGACGGTGGCATGGAGTCTGCCCACCAGGCGCTCGATTGTATCGACATCGTTGTTCAACACATAGGCGCCCCTGGCTGCAGCGTCAAGCCGGTCCATGTGTTGCTGCAGGCGTTTCATCGAAGCGGTTGCGGGGCAGCAGGAGCCGCGCGACGCCGCGCAGGCGGGGGCCGCGGCCAACAGCACGGTGATGGCGTGCGTGGCGAGCACGAGGCCCGCGATCGCAGCGCCGGTGGCGCAGGCGATTAGGCAGATGCCCGACCCGCGCGTCGCGCAGCGCACCAGCCGGCGCCTGCGGCGGGCCCTGAGGAGGCGCAGGTCGAGGTGGTTCTTGAGGCCGACGAAGCTCCGGTGCATGCCCTGGAAGCCGGCCGCGGGGGCCGGGAACGGGTTGGGCATTTGGTCGAACAGGAGGAAGGCGTCGAACGCGCAGTCGCGGTGCGGCGCGGCGAGCGGGGGCGCGTGCGGTATCAGCGCGAGGAGGTCCGTGATGGGCCCGTACAGCGCCCGCGCGCGGCGCAGCGCCCGGCGGAGGGAGAGGCAGAGCAGCGACGCGTGGTGCGTGCTGCGGAGGTAGTCCGCGGCGAGGCGGGTCAGCTCCGTGTCCGGCGCGTCCCCCAGCGCGCGCTCCACCACCGCGTCCTCCGGCTGGAGCACGCCGGCGAGGGTGCACCTGTCCTCGTCCTCCTCATCTTCCTCCCCACCACCACCACCACTGACGCCGCCCTCCCGCTGCCCATCCCCGCCGTCCACATGGATCTTCGCCCAGATCTCGTGGTAGGAGCTGGTGTGGATGGCGAGCGTGTACTCCTGGCTCAGGTTGATGGTCGCCGTCGACAGGGAGCTTCTCCCCCACCCCTCCCCCGCCGCCGCAGCCGCCCCATTCCGCCTCGCCCCGCTGCTACCACTCGCGGCGGTGCTCGAGCTCGTGCTCGCGTTCGCGCTACTGGCTGTGGTGTTCGTGTTCGTGTCCGTGTCCTCGCGGCCCACCGACTCGCCTCCCTCCGCGCCCACGCCACGCCGCTCCCACGGCCGCATCGAATCGATAGATCGGCCGCGATCGCCGCGCCGCGCAAGCAATCGAGCCACAGCGACACAAGCAAGCGCAGGGGCAAGCTACTACTAGTAGTATAGGGGTAGTGTGGTGTGCTGTGTAAGGCAGCAACGGGCGCGAGGCGAGGCGCTTTTGGGTTTTTTGACCAGTCGAGGCGTGGACGACGGGTCGGGTCCATTTCCGGGAAGCGAATCCGACGGCGCGCGCGTTCGCTTCCGGTGGCATCCTACGGCGGGCAGTGTACACTTGCCTCCGCGCCGCGCCGAGCCGTCGGTCGCGGTGCGCGTGATAGCTCTACTCTCGCGGTCGCTGTGGGCGCGGGGCGGGTTGGCGAAGCGGAGACGGCACGCGCGGAGTCCGTACGGCCGCAGCGAGGCGACGTGGTGGCGTCGAGTCGGCGGCGATGATAAGGGTTGTGTCTCCGCCGCCTCCGTCCACCGTGCAGCTGCGCGGCGGCGGCGGCACCCCGGGGCCCTCCTCCTCCTCCGCGGTCTGCCGTTTCTGGGGTTCCCGAAGAGGAAGTAGAGTTGCGGCGACGAGTAGTTGGGGTTGGGGGAAGAGTAGGAGGAGGAGGCGCGCCGCCATCTCATGCTGCTCTGCTGAGGAAGGGGAGGGGCCCCGGGTCGCCACGCCGTCGGCTCCCCCGGCGCCGTCCGAGGGATCGATACAGCTCTACTCGCAGATCGAGAGGTAGGCGATGGCTAATTCCGTGCCTGCGAAATCTCTCTCCTAGATTGATAACATCTTTTGTTGTTGCGGCCGGCGAACAGGGTGATCACGGAGGCGGCGAAGCAGTCCCGGGAGGGCTGGGGTTCGACCGGAGATTGGACCGAGATCGAGGTGCGCTTCGGTGATTGCGACCTCAATTGAGAGTGCAAAATTTTCCTGCTACTGTTGTTGATGCAGAGTGATTTTACTTACTACTGGTTGTTCTGATAGGGAGCGTGGGTGCTGAAGCCTAAATCACAGGAGCCCTCGTTCGTTGTTCACTTCGTTGGTGGGATTTTTGTTGGAGCTGCTCCTCAGATCACTTATCGTTTCTTCCTTGAACGACTTGCAGACAAGTATGTGGACAAGCAATGCCCAATGACCCAAAATTATCTGTGTGCAACAGTCTAATTCTGCTCAAAGACTGAAACAGCGCGGCATTTGATTTGTTCGTAACGCTGGAGAGTTGACTATAGTTCTATACCCGAAATGCAACCTTTGAAAATTTAGCCCTCCCTTTGTTGTGTGTTTAACTAGTGCATCATTGCTTGACCATGAATCTAGAGAATAAGAGCTTTGGTGTGTAATTTGTCATTATTAACTGCAAGGCACCTCTTTATGTGGTTCTAAGCAAGACACGCATGTTCAATCTATCAAAAAGTTAGTGAAACAACAATCATTTTTAAAGTTTGTCCTTTGATAATATTACAAGCAATGAACTGCATCTTCATTTCAAGAAAATGATACAGTACTTCTTAGCTCTAGCTCTACACGGTTTACACTGCTATTATGATTTCCTATAGAGCTATCTTTCTACATATTCCACTTCTCTAGCAGACATGTATTTTATCAGTCTATTTGAAATTTAGGGGAGCTTTGGTGATCGCAACGCCATATGCTAGCGGCTTTGATCATTTCTTCATCGCAGATGAAGTTCAATTTAAGTTTGACAGGTGCTTAAGAAACATGGTTGAACCTGTAAGTTGTTATTTTTCACATAACAATTAACTCCAATATTGTCCAATATACTAAGCAAACATTTTTTTTCCAGGTAAATGACCTTCCCACATTTGGTGTTGGGCATTCTTTGGGATCTGTGATCCACCTTCTCATTGGTACGAGATTATAAGTGCATATTTCGGCCTTGTTTAGTTCCAAACTTTTTCTTCAAACTTCCAACTTTTCCATCACATCAAAACTTTCCTACACACATAAACTTCCAACTTTTCCGTCACATCGTTCCAATTTCAACCAAACTTCCAATTTTAGCGTAAACTAAACACACCCTTCATTTATCTTCTGGGCTATGAAGTATTCTTTATGTAAGATTAAATTTGTGCTTGTTCAGTTAGCGGTGTAATATGTTGTTTTATCACTGATGTTTGCTTCTATTAGGATCAAGATACGCTGTGCAGCGAAGTGGAAATATATTGATGGCCTTTAACAATAAGGTATGTTTTTTGCGTGTTATCTCCCCTCCTTGTTAACACTAGTAACAATCCCATGCTTTGCAATGGGCTTATTTAATTGAGGATATATCCATACCATTAGGATGGATGGGACCGTGGATCGAGTAAAGCACCGGAAGACTAACTGCTTGTTCTTTTTTCCCCTGGTTTTTCCTTCTTTTTTTTCTTCTTTTTAGGAGGCAGAGATTACATTTCCTGGTTTTTGGGACAGATATGGGGAGGACAGAGTTGTTTTTTTCGTTAACTAATCGTCTTTTCTTTTCCTGGTTTTCTTCTTTTTTTTCTCAGTTGGTTAGTTTTTGGCACTTTTTTTTCTCTTTTTTTAGCGCTTTTTATACGTGAGATTGGAAGGGGAGGAAGGAGGATGACTGTCCTTTCGAAGTAGTAGAGAAAATTGCATGGCTTAGGGAAGACACATACATATAGGTAAAGACCATACTAGTACACTGTAGATGACCAGGGATCCATACTTTATTGCTTTAGTTTGTATCTCTTGATAAGATAAGTGGATAACTGGACATTCCTCATTGAGTAGATATTTAAATTTGGTAATCCATAGTAATGCAACTTTCAGAGTGAAGTAAGAACTTTTGTACGCTTCAATCTACATGGAGCGGGTACATCAGCTGCGAAGCATGTGATGCGGCTCTGTTAGTTTGGTACAAAAATCGTAGTGTCATAAGACACTTGCATTTAGATGTTAGGACGGAATGATGTTATCTATTGTAACCAGAGCGAAAAGAATTTTTGTTCCGTTCAATCTATTAATTCTTTTAAAAGCTACTAGTAGAATATTACTTGTAGTTTTTCTTCTTCTTTCTTTTTCTTTTGCAGGAAGCAAGCTTGGCAGTTCCATTATTTTCGCCTGTAATTGTTCCCATGGCACAGAGTTTTGGGCCAATATTTTCCCAGTTGACATCATATCCAACACTTCGTTTTGGGGTACGATGTGTTTCTGAATTCCATTGCCAAATTGTTACGATGATTTTTTATATTTTATGACAAAGTCTGTTGCTTGAATGGTCTGCAACTGTTCCACATGGTGGTATTATTTTCTTTTCATCCCTGCACTGTCATTCTCATTTGGACATCTCCTGTTTCTGGAGACGTACTATCTTTCTTAGTATGTATCACAAGTGGAACTTATGGTGTTAGGTGTAGGTGTAAGTGACAAAGTCGGTATCTGTTCACTATTCTAAAAATAGGAAGTTCCCAACTCTAATAGAATGTTCGAGTTTTATGTTGGCGAGCCTCCCTTCAATTTTAAACTCAGTAAGCACATAAATTTACCACCTTGTTTCATGTTAGTTACAAAGAATTTTTCCTCAGATAGCAATAATATGAAATAGAAATGGACATGGATCATTCCAACTATTACACTTGAATATTGCTACTGATGCCATGTCACTCTCCCAAATACAAATCACATGTTTCCTATGTGTTGATTATATGCCACTTCCCTCTTAAGCTAAGATGATTATAATCCTTGCAAAACAGGCGGAAGCAGCCATTAAGCAACTTGAGAATCTTAGCCCTCCTGTTGTTAAGCAGCTCCTGCCATTAGTTCAGCAACTTCCTCCACTGTATATGGATTTAGTAAAAGGCCGAGAAGAATTCGTTCCAAAGCCAGAAGAGACACGTCGGCTGGTAAGTTAGCTTATTCGTCTCTTTCAATGCTTCAGATGCTTGCATAGGATATATGTTAACCTTTCATCTACAATTGCTGTGCTGCTGTTGTAATATTATATAGAAGTGCTAAAAAGTCAACTCTAAAACGATGTTTTTTTTTCTTCTATACTTTCTATTTTAAACTAACCAATACTAACCACTGGGTTAATAAATTTGAATAGCCTCTGATATCATATGACATAGGATGCATCCCCAACTCCCCATCAATATCATTTATTGGTGACTAGCAGAATCTTCTATGCAATTCATCACATTGCACTTTTTGAAAGGATCATCAGGCAATGGATCATGGTGGATTCCCCTTGCATATTTTGAGGATATAGGCAGAGATGTGCCCAAATAGAAGTATACAAACCAAATGAAATCACTAATTCTCCAGAGCTGTTAAAGTATTTTCACCATCAGTTCTATACTAAGGGTGTGTTCAGGTGTGCAGGATGGAAACCCATCCTGCACGTAAAACGGAGCGGCCTTTTAACATGTGATTAATTAAGTATTAGTTATTTTTTTTTCAAAATGCATCAATATGAATTTTTAAAACAACTTTTGTATATAAAATTTTTGAAAAAAATGCACCGTTTAGTAGTTTGAAAAGCGTGCGCGCGGAAAACGAGAGAGGTGGGTTGGGAAAATGGTGTACCGAACTCAGCCTAACATCAGTTAGCATTTTGAGTTGAATTTTCTCGGTTCAATCCAAGTCTACAAATGTCATTTTTGGCGTGATTGATGAGTATAGAAATAACCAATAATTTGGGTAGTATGTACATATGTATGAAATGTTCAGTTTGAAGTCTACAACAAACTTTAAGGAAACAAGGAATTACGATGGCAGAGTTATTATATTTTGATCTATATATGAGTTTGTTTTAACAAAAAGGAAGACGTGTTGAATATATCAAAGCTCTTACTGGTGTTACCATAATCTAAAATTGACCTGACAGATTAGTATGATAGTGAAATGCTTGCAAAGACCATTTGCTGTGTCCACTCTATAATTCACACTGCTGATCTTACAGCATTATTTCGCCCATCTTAATCAACCCTCGCAGCATGTGGCTCTCTTTAGGTTTGGACAATCATGAAAATATGCAATTCATTCAGTGCGCAAAGATGTATGCAGGATAAGCTAAATAACTAGAGAACTGTCCAGCAATCAAAGAAATGTTAGCACCTTTTGTTTGTGCATTTGTGGATGAGTAGGTTGGAATATTATTCCCTGTTCTGACTCTTGTATGATGTATGCCCAAACATAAAACAAGTTAAAAGGAGATATCCTTAATGTTACTGGGACAAAGTGAGTAATATGCATTACCATGCTGCTTCAGACTTGGGAGGAGAAAAGAAAAACAGAGAGAGAAAGAGCTAACTAATCCATCACGTTTAATGTAGTTGGATTTCTTGTTTGTATGTGATACTAAAAATAAAAAAAGATGTAACTTATGTTATAAATGGCAGCAAATTTATTATCATGAAGCATTTTTCAAATTATTGTGTTGTGGTTTTTTTTTAAAAAAAATACCACTATATAATTTATTTTTATGATTGTTCTAATGCATTACACTTCTTTCTGCAGGTAAAATCCTACTATGGGATTTCTCGAAACCTCTTGATAAAGTTCAAAGATGATCAAATTGATGAAACATCTATTCTTGCGCAAGTACTAAGCTCCGAATCTGCCATTAGCTCACTGCTTGACATGTCAATTCGGTCACTTCCTGGAGATCATGGACTACCGTTACAGCAGGTGATTTTCGCTGAATATATTCTCAGAATTAAAGGTGCTGACAAATGACAAAGCCTGTCATGTACAGCACGTGCTGTCCATGAATAAAGCTATTGTTAGACTAAAGATATTATTTTTTGAGAAAGTTATTGTATCCGTCTCTCTTATTTCAGCTAAGTAATCACATATTTTTCCTTCAGGTACTTCCTGATGTTCCACCAGCAATGGCCGATGCAGTAAACAGAGGAGGTGAACTCCTGACAAATCTAGCAACAGGGACACCATGGGAGGCTGTTGCTAAGGAGGTAGGTAGCACTTTAGGTGCGGATTCGGGCGTTCTACGAGCACAAATCTCAAAGGATGTCAATACACTTGTTGACGTAATTGTTTCATGGATTGAGTCAAATTCTGGTCCAAGATTACTTCGTTCATGATGACACCCCCACAAAGGTTTAGCAGGTTGGGAATGCCAGTACCAAACGTCAAGAGGATTCAACTGACGAGTATTGCAAACTGTAGATTGCATTTCAACCCCGACATGCTAGTGGTGTATATATATGCTGTACATCGTAGCGCATGACTTGTTGAATGTAATCTATCTTGATGGAGTATTATGAATGTACATTTCCATTAAAAAAATGTACATTTGGAAGGACTAGAATAGAGCGATGAGTTTATGGGTTTGTGGCTGCTCTGATCCTGACAGGCACTGGGGGTGCACAGTACTGCACAGTCCTGTCCGCAAATCTACAGTTCAGTTTTACAAGAAATGTTCATTTGGTAGCAACGGAAGGTCTATAGTTCTCCGAGGAAACTGGCCGAGGTATGCACCCGTGCTTATCATTCTTCGTAAAACTGTAATTATTTGTTAAAACTATCCTTTTACTTCAGATGGGTATTTCATAAGACTGCTGCAACAACAACAGCAACAACAGTTGATTTTATCACATATGGGCTCGACTTACCCTGATATAAAGTATTGCATGTGTGTATGATATATGTACTCAAAACTTTTCAGGTGAATAATGTAAGCTTTTTGATAAAGTCATACACTATTGTTGCAGTTCCGTGAAATATTTAGCTAAAGGCTGTGTTTAGTTCACGGTAAAATTGAAAATTTGGTTGAAATTGGAACGATGTGACGGAAAAGTTGAAAATTTATGTGTGTAGAAAAGTTTTGATGTGATGAAAAAGTTAAAGGTTTGAAGAAAAACTTTAAAACTAAACACGGCCAAAGTTGTACTAAACTAATAGTTTTAGTAAAATAGTTATAGTTATTTGAAATTTATAGTTTTAATAAATACTTGTAGTTATTTGAAATTTACTTTTCGTATGATCTGTTTCCTATCAATTAAAACAAGTTCTATAGTACGGAGTATTAAGTGTTAATTGATGACTGAAGGGCTATCCCATTCTGCTCTAGATCTAGGAACGGTATTCCCTCCGTTTTATAATATAAGACTTTCTAGTGTATGTGTCTAGATTCATTAGCATTTATATGAACGTATGTTAGAAAGTCTTATATTGTGAAACGGATGAAGTAAATAGTTAAATGTCCTCGAGTCCCTAACTTTGGAGTCATCCTACACGAATGACAAAAGCAAGATTGTACTCCAATCCATTATCTGTCCGTGCACGAATATACAAAATCCCGTTCACGTAAGTGCAAGTTTTATAAAAAAGGAGGTTGTTGCATCTAATTTTGACCACATCATCAACTAATAAATATAGAGGTAATATATACAATATATCACATCTATACTAATTCTAATACACTAGCCTCAATGTTTGTTTGCCCAATCTACTCTTCCTCTCTCTCCTTTTGTCTTGAATTTTGTGTAATGGTTGCCTCTTGCATGAGAGGTGGCTGCTTATCTCTCTCATCTCTTCTCTCCTCCACCTCACCATTTTAGCTTATGTGGCACCTAGGAGATTGTGCTTGGATGTTTATAGTATTTGCCCTAATCCCCGTATAGATAGTTCATAAACAAAATCTATATAAAAAATTCCCCAGATTAGTCTCTACCACCATGTCAACGCATCGAGCCGAAATGAGCCGATCTCGAAACCGTGAACCGCTGCTCCCTGGAATCCTGCTGCTTTCAACCTTTTCGTGTCACCTGGAACTAAAAGCCACCACGTATGCAAAAGATCTCTGCCAAGATCACGAAACCATTCACCGATGCACCGGCTGGCCGCGCCGGGAAGCGCGCGTGGACGCCGGGAGAGCACGGTGGCCACAGCCACAGACACAGCCCGAACCGCACGTACGCAAAACGCAAGCCGCGGATCGGAGAGCGACATGTCCACTGCAACGGTGCATCTCCCCACGCACGCACGCACGCACATGGACGGCTCCTGTTGCGAGCATACTACTAGTAGGAGTAGTATATACAAGTGCCCCTCGTGTAGCATCAGGGGCTCAGAAAACTAACCGAAACGATGATGATGTGTGTAGAAGTACATGATGTCGACCGATGGGAACCATGTGCCGCACATCCCTTGATGCTGTAGCTGGGTGAGAGGTAGAGACAGAATGGCATGGCGTTGCAATGTGCTGGACCGGAAATTACTCTCGCCAGTCGCCTCTGATGATCCATCGACCACTCATTCAGATATATTTTTTTTTGTAATAAAAACTCCATCGGATTAGAAACATGTAGCTAAGCGTACGTGCCACCCTGGACAGAGCTAAAACAAACGATAGATTCCCAGGGAGCATGGTTAAGAGTTACTGTTAAGACCATTAGAATTTGTACAAATCCTGTCTGTTTGTCCCGGGGTCTCGTGGCACCTCAATTTATTAATCACTACCCCTATACTACATCGTGTTTCCATCCTATAGCTCCTTCCATGATGGAGATCAGTTGCTCTTTCAGTAGATTTGAGATCTGTATCCGTGATGAAATCAAATTAGCTAGGGCTGCAAGCTCAATACCTCATGCTAGCACATGCAGCATACGATAGGTAGTACTGATCATGGATGTTGTAGTCTCCCCGAAGACATGTGGCTGTTGTTAAGATATGGCAAGGTTGGATCAGTCATTTCGGCATGGCCATTTGCCCATTTGCACGTAGTAGTAGTAGTAGTAGTAGTAGTGGTGGTGGTAGTAGTAGTAGTAGTAGTATACTCCTACATTAGTACATCGAGTGATCGAGAGAAACGAGCGATATAGATGTGGTCACGGCGCGGCTATCCCATTCTTCTAACTATTTTTCGATCAAGTGGTCACTTACGAGGTAGTAGTAGTAGTAGTAAAACCTGGGTTATAGCGCGGCATAAGATCCGTTGCTAGTATACCATACAGAAAAATTGCGCGCGCCATGTGACAGCGCGCGGCCGCAGCGTGGAGCACCACGCGCGACGCGGGGAGGAGAACGAGAACGCTGCTGCCGCAGCAGCGCGCACGCACCCCCACCCCCACCCCCCACGTGCTCTCCTTGTCACGCCCCCCCATCCGCACGAGCCGGACAAAAAGAAGCGGGCGCTGCCACTGGTAGTGGCGCTAAAATAACAAGCCGCTCACCACCACCCCCCTCGCGTCGCGTCCCTCACTCCTCACTCCACACACCCCGCCACATCCGCCTCTGCGCGACTGCGCCCCGTGCCCCCACGCCCTGCACGACCAGCAGCAGATCGAGATCGAGACGGCCTGACCTCTTGTGGTGATGCGGTGGGTCGCGTAGGCGTATCCAAGATCCGGTGGTGCGGAGCTTTGCTTGCGGGGATCGATCGCAGGAGGTGAGGTGACGGGTGTGAGAATGGAGGAGAAAGTGGGGGAGACGGTGGCAGCGGCGGCGGTGGCGGTGGCGCCTGTGGTGGCGGGGGACCAGGACGGAGTGGCGTACTGCAGCGAGCATCCGTACCCGCCTGGCGCGGCTGCGGCGGCTGGGGTGGCAGCCGGCGGCGGCATATGCGCCTTCTGCCTGCAGGAGAAGCTCGGCATGTTGGTGTCTTCGTCCAAGTCCAGCCCTTTCCACCCGCCGCCGGCTTCCGCCTCCTCGTCCACTCCGACCAGCCACGTCGCTGCTGAGTCGTCGTCGTCGTCACTGCCTCTCCACCCTTCCGCCGCCGCCGCGGCGCGCAAGGTGATCCCGGCCTCGGCGGCTGGCGGGCTCAAGAGGAGCAAGTCGGTGGCGCCGCGTCCGGAGGAGACGACGCCGGTGACGGCGCCCGCTCCGTCCGCGGTCACCGCGGACAGCCCGAGGAAGAAGAGCTTCTGGTCCTTCCTCTACTCCTCGTCCTCGTCGTCGAGCGGCGGCCACCAGGGCTCGGCGTCGATGGCCAACGGTGGCGGCGGCGGCGGCGCGTCGGTGAGGAGGAAGTCGGTGTCGGTGGCCTCGGCGTCGTCGGCGTCGCTGGGACGGAGGCTGGAGGCGATAGTGGAGCCGGACAGCCCCGGCCGCCGTAGCGAGGGCTCGTCGTCGTCGTCGTTCGGGAGGAAGGTGGCGCGGTCGCGCTCCGTGGGGTGCGGCAGCCGCAGCTTCTCGGGGGACTTCCTGGAGCGCCTCTCCACCGGCTTCGGCGACTGCGCGCTCCGCCGCGTGGAGTCCCACCGCGAGCCCAAGCCCAAGTCGTCCGCCGGCGCGCTCGCCCACCTGGGCGGCAACCACTCCGCCGCCGGCAACGGCGACGACGACGAGTACGAGTCCACCCAGCAGCACCGCATCAAGTGCGCCGGGTTCTTCGGCGGTCTCGGCGCCGCGCCGCCGCCCACGTCGTCCTCCTACTGGCTGTCCGCTGCCGACGGCGCCACCGCCGCCGCCCCCAGCGCAAGAACCCACGGCGCGCGTAGCCACCGGAGCTGGGCGTGGGCGCTGGCGAGCCCGATGCGAGCGCTGAGGCCGACGAGCTCCTCCTCCAGCAAATCCATCATGGCCGCGCCCCACAACCGCGGCGGCGTCTCCGGCAACGGCGGCATGGCGATGGCCGCGGTGGCGACGAGCTAGCCATCCAACATGCAACAAACACCACCGCACACAAGTCACATCCGGCATGGTCGGTCGATGGCCACCCGAACTACACTCCTCCATAATTTCTTTATTTATTTCGCGCGTGTTGTTATGTGATGTCCATGGTTAAACCCTGCTATGATATGAAATCAATCGATCTCCAGATGAACTTGACCTTGATTTGTTGATGATCTGTTCGCCACATTTGGGAGTACGTTTTTTTGGGAGATTTTTACTTGTCAGTGACCGAGCGATGAGTTGAAGCAGACAATGCGGCAGCAAGTACTCCCTCAGTCCTTTAAAAAAGGCAGACCCTAGGTTTCCGTGTCCAACTTTGACTATCCGTTTTATATGAAATTTTTTTATAATTTATATTTTTATTGTTGTTAGATGATAAAACATGATTAATATTTTATGTGTGACTTGTCTTTGTAATTTTTTTCATAATTTTTTTAAACAAGATGGATGGTCGGAAACCAGATTTGTCTTTTTTTTTTTTGACGGAGGAAGTAGACCGTACACGAGGCCACACATGTGCACGTACATGCGTGGGCCGCGTGGGCCGAGCTGTCTCGGCCGTTGCATGTGTGATGGCGATGGGCCGATTAACAAATTCCTCCTCTCTCTCTCTCTCTCTCTCTCTCTCTCGATCTCGATCTCGACCGTAGATCCGGTCAGATTAGCTTAGCACTAGCACCTGCTCATGCTGCCGCCTTGTTAAATTAGAGAAGCAGTGTCTGTGTCTGTGAGTCTGTCACTGCAGCTAGCGTGCCCACAACTGGCACAGGCACAGGCACATGGTGATGGTGGTGGTGCATCTGGCCAACTCAGGCTCAGGGCCACGTGCATGTACGTTCGCTTGTCATTGTGTCACAGAGAGGGTCCCAACTCTCCCAACCCCTCGCGTTGTGCGTTTGCATACGTCGACGATCGCCCAATCGTGTGTGTGCGGGGGGGATAAGGATCCGGTGCAGTTACAGTACAGACTGCAAGTTTAGCAGCTGGGACTGTTTTCCATCGTTGGATCAAGATAATCAACGGTCCAAACAGTGCTACAGGAACACACTGTGTACGATTTTCTGTAAACAGTATTTAGGAAAGATCTAGGACATCAATTTCTGATCCAATGGTGGTTATAGGACTGCTTAAGTTGCAGGAGCTATAGCTACTGCAGGTGATCCCAATCCGTGTGGGGGGGTTGCCGAGTGCGGAAGCGCCAGGCGTGTCGCGGTCTGTTTGGTTCACGTCGCGTGCAGTGTGCAGTGCAGCAGCAGTGAGATCGACACGGGGGGCGCGCGTACATGTGCAGGTGCAGCCAAACCAACAGTAGCGCTGTGGCGGCCCGATCGACCGACGCGGACGGAAGCTGGGGTAGGCAGGGGGGAACTGGAGGTGCACAGGGTTAATCATATCATATCATATTAAATCTTTAGTTTTCCTGAGCCACTACCACCAGTGCGTCGCTTCACGAGAGCTCACGATTCTGCTACAGTGCAACAGTCCCTGCCTGCGCGTGGACCGTCCGATGCACCCACGTTGCTGAGATCCGAACATCCGCGTGTCTGCTTCTGCGCCAGCCCGAGCCCCTGATCCGCTCGCCCGTCGTCATCCCCAAGACCTCAGCCAGGCACGCCACGCACCCACCGCTCACCAATCCCCAATTCCCCATCGATCCCCATTACCGCGGAGAAATCAGAAATCGGCGTCTCCACCTCATCGCCCATCGATCCCATTCAGCTTCGCCCCTCCGTTCTTCCCCGCCGACTCCTTCCCTCCGTTCTCCTTACTGAATCAGCGTCGGCTATGGTTGGGGGTTCTCGGTTGCTGCCGGTCACAATGAGGATTCCAAACAGTGCGCCATTGAGAACCGACCACAGGTCCAGGTATGGCCATCTGGGCTCTAGATTACCCCCGGCTTCGCCACACATGACATAGCATCCCATTCTACCATCCTCCATTTGGTCTCTATCCAGATTTGGTTGTCTCATGTTGTAGCTAGGGTTTTGGTAGGTAATGCGCATTGCGGCGGACGAGCTGAGGCGGCAGGGTATAGCGCATAAACTTAAGTTTTACGTCCTTCAACAGTTCAACGATGAATCGATCTGTGCAAGTTATGCAGCTATTGGTTGTTTGTGTGACTGCTCAACCTCGGCTTTGCTGTCCTCCGGCTATGGTGGCAGGAAGGGAAGCACTTGCCTGTCTTCCTATAGCTCAAGGTATTATTTTAAACTTTTACCAAATCTTACTCACCATGTCGATGATTTGGCCCTGTGTGGATTTGATTAGTGGTGTCTAAATGTGATCTTTGCGCTGGCTGTGGTTCAGCAATTATGATGGCATGGAGGCTAATCTTCTTTTCCTTGCAGGTATCGATCTTTTTGTCCTGTATGTCTTGCCAGACATTGTGCTACTCGATCTAACTGCATATGTTTTAAGGCATTCATGGTTGCACCTAAATAATTAGGTAATGCTTTGTTGTATGTAAGATCTTTCTTTTTTTACCTGCTTCAGGTTCCTAATTGACTGATGAGAAGAATGTACCGCCTTTCATGCCAGAAGATGTTTACTGCTTGGAGCAACAATCTTATGGAAAACCTGTACCTTAAAACCCCAAACCATAGTTACATTTTTAGTGTATCTATATGAGAGAAGCTTTCCTAGACTACTGCTGCTCATTTATAGTCTAAGCCATCAATTCATTTTCATGTGCCATAAATCATGAGCAATTTTGCCATCCAACAGTTCGTACCTCGAGGTACCAAAAAATTGTAGTACCTCGAGGTACCAAATGTTGAATGGTAAAAAGACTCATAAATCATACATAGGAGATGCTCTGTTGCAATTTATACATTGGATTTACTCATATTTATCTCATGCAAAAGCTTTTGCATTATTTTTCTTTTTGGATCGCAACATTCAAATGTGCTAACTGCTAAGTTATGTCTTGATACAAATGTTGCAGCTTGATGATTGTGATGACAGCTATGCAAAATTACTGACAAGTTCATCAGACTTTACATTAAAATCATACAATATCCTACGGCTCCTGCACATGTTATTCCATCTTTAGTTCCGAAGGTAAATTCCTTCTTAAACACAGTCAAATCTTACAAGCAATATCCTTGCCATGAATATTACCGTTAATATCATGGTTTCCATTTCCACAATGATCCACAGATGAAAAAAAAAGAGCATCTCATATACATGTTGACATTCTATTTGTTTGTAAATGATCTTTTGCTCTATTCAAGGATAAAATTATCATTCATAAAAGTACATATTGCCCTTCATATATGACATTTCTTATTCTAAATTCATCTGATGCTTTAGTTCACGAAGAATCATGTGAAGATGCTCTTTATTTGTATTATACACCATATAAAAAACAAATCATTAAGATTAATTCTTATATTTGTCAATTATCAGGATAGCTATGGATTCTTCATTCTTTCCTATGGCATGTGTGCTGGCTACATATTGATGTCAGTGATGATGAGTTTGCAAGAAATCTGATCTGTCTTTCAACTCAACGTCACATAGTAAGAGAGTCAATACTGGTAATAAAATCATAGATGGAATCAAGCTACCTAGGTTAACAGCCAATTGAGCATAGATAGTCCATTGTTCATCATAGACTTGCAGCCAATCACCTGTATATATCATACTTTGTCATGTTTGTACTTCCAAGTAAAATCATGTCACCTCCATGTTTTTTCTACTTAGGTATTTATCTTCTAGGTTTATAGGATGGAATATTTCTCGAATACACTTTTGTCTATGTAAATTACAGGTGTTCTGTATAGAAAATTTTCCCATCAGAAATCTTTATGGTTGTTCATATGTTAAATATTTTGTTTTGCTTAAGCACCCCGCGGCAACGCGCGGGGTCCTGGCTAGCTGTATGGGTATCACGATGCGTTGAAATGACGTGACGGTCGCGATCTGCTGCTGAAGATGGAACTGAACTGACTGGAGTAGAAAGACCTAACGGCGAGGCAACAGATCTTGTTTGGGGCACCTAAGGCCTCGTTTAGTTGTGGAAAAATTTTAGGTTTAATTGCATATATCAGATATACGGACTATTAGAAAGTGAGTTATAAAGGCTGTGTGTTGACGAGTTATACTCATGGACCGGATGAGTTGAGTACTGGGGTACATTGTTACGAGGCTACATAATACTACATAATACGATATCAAGCAGACAAAAGATAACGATTATACTGGTTCAGGACCTTTATCAGATAATAGTCCTAGTCCAGTTTATATGGGATTGATGATGACGAGAACAGATTACAAAGCAAGTAGTCCAAATAGATGATACCGACGAGATCGTAGTCGAGGGTTTCGATGAGATCTCCCAGCGACTCCATGTACTCCGGCTTCGTAAACTGGTGGGTGTGTTGGCAATTGAATTGGATGCCTTGATCCCCTCCCCGGGAGTCCCTTTTATACCGTGGATCATCTTGACCCCAAGAAAAATATGGGGATATTTGATTCGACACGGTATAACAGAAACTTTACCCCTTCCGAGTAGGATTTTGGAAATCGCTTGACTCGTGGAGATATTTTCTGTGATTTAAAACAAATCCTTAAGAGCGTACATGGAACCAATCCGTGTACATAAAGATATACCTTATTAGTATATTCCATAAGTCCTTATTAGTATATTCCATAAGTCGCAGGATAGAAGATATGCCTTATCCGTAACCCTGACACTGTGTTAGAGTTATGGGTGTAAAGTTTTGGTGTGTCACATCGGATATACGGATACACATTTGAAGTATTAAACGTAGTCTAGTAACAAAAATAAATTACAGAATACGCCTGTAAACCGCGAGATTAAACTTAATTAATTTGTCATTAGCAAATGTTTACTATAGCACAATATTATCAAATCATAGCGTAATTAGGCTTAAAAGATTCATGCATGTGTTTAAACGTTTGATGTGATAGGGAAAAAAATAATTTTGCCAGTGGATCTAAGCAACCCCAAAATGTCATTGCAGAGCACAGATAGGCTGCAACAACGATGGCATGACGGGTGTGCCCGATGGCAGAAGAACTCATAGCTCGGGCTTGGACTCTACCTCCCCGTTGAGCTCGGGCTCATGGCTATTCTGGTACAAGTGGGTTTCCCTGGGATTTTTTTTTTCTTCTTACTGATTGGGATTCCACTTCAGTTAAAACCACCATCGAAATCATCCTAGAGTCATTTGTACTGGCTTTAATAATTCGAGGAGTCGTAACGGTTGAGTGGTTGAATTAGATATTACCTATATTTAAGGGACTTTTATTGGACTTTATTCACAAAAGAAACCAAGGGCTCAGGAACCTAATGGATCTTGACTGATGGCTAGATTAGGCCTGTTTACTCTGTACTGGGCTGCAAACCTACCCTGGCACCAAGCATCAAGCAAAAGGAAAAAGTACACCCAAGGTCCCTCAACTTGTCATCGAGATACAAAATCATCTCCCAACCGCAAAATCAGATATACGACATCCCTCAACTTACAAAACCGTTCACTTTAGATCATTCGGTGGTTTTAACTCCGGTATTGTCTGACGTGGCGGCTGAGTCAGCGTAGGTCCCCATGTGGACCCCACATGTTAGGGTCCACGTCAGCACCTTCTCTCTTTTCCCTCCTCTCTCTCTCTCCTCCTCCTCTCTCACATTCTTCTCGTTCTCGTTGCCATCACGGTGCTGCATCTGGATGCAGAGGTTCTCGCCCTGTCCGATGGCGAGCTGCATCTGCAGCTGTGACACCTGGTTCTGCAGGAAGGAGATGGCCCTGACGCAGTCGTAGACTGGGTCCCGCATCCGGTCGTTCGCCTCGTACACCAGGCTGCTCACCGTGTCGCCTTACTGCTGCACCGGCAGCTCCTGCATTGGAAACACGCATCAGACGCAAGCATGCATGCACGGTGGCGCGGGTGTTTGACGAAAACAAAACAACGAACACATAGAAAATAGGGAAACCCTGTATTTTATTAATCATGATTCATTAACATGAATGTTTACAAATACATGAGGGCTCCGGCAGGAGTTCATCTTTTGCCTTCACGAGGAATGCTTAATGGAGAGGTATGTTGACTGGAGATCGCGTGCAGTCCGCTGATTCCCGGTGTCGGTCTCAGACGTAATACAAATATTGATGAATCGGCCATTTCATCTCGTTGACATTCGGCCACGATGTTGACGTGTATTTTAAATCTGCACGTCTCGCCCTTATGGCTAGCGTTGTTTTATTTAGCGAATAATGCATGCCTTCAAGAATTGTGAGAATTGCTCCCATCAATCCGGTAGAATTTGGAGAGGAAAAGAATTGCTCCTGTACATGACATGCATGAGGCAAATATGTAACTCTTCCGGCATGAATATAAATATGTATAAATCATGGTTGGTATGATGCCAATAAGACTCAAACTCATCCCAAGTTTATACAAATAAATATCTCATCCAATATTTGATATTAATAATTTAGACGCTCCAACCTTTACGAGGGTCAGGCTCGCCTTGTATTTATTTGCACCCTATATTAATCACTTAACAAAGATGACGTGTGCGTGTGTATGCGCCGCTGGGATACTTATATATCCATGGCTACAAGTTCACAACGCATCCACGATATATTCGTCTATGCTTCTCTTTACTTTTCTGTTAACCGGGCCGTGCAACAGCGCAGCACTACGGCCTCACTGTGTTGTTGATGATAAATAGCATATGAAGATTTTGATCGGCTCCTCTGATGTTTCATCACGCCTGCAGCACACACGGATCGACTTGATGATGAACGCCGGCGCAATCATCGCTGGCAATGGTTAATCTCATCGCGAATTGCCGACGATGAAATTTAATCTCTTTTATTTTATAATTTGTCGGCGCTCGGCCATAGTTTCGTCACATATGTGGTGGCCATAGTACTTTTCAGCTTTAGCCAATGCATCGCTCGGCCTCATTGGTCACGAACATAGCATCGATGTTATATTTTTTATCTCCACTCCTCCTTTGTTTTATAATTTGAGGCTCGCTCCCGGCATGTGCACCATAAAAACATGTGTTTTGATTATAAATAATACGAGGATAGTCCAATCCGCAGATTAGACATACCCAAGTTTATGTTTCGAGAAAGCAAATGTGATTTGATTTCCAGAGCACTTTAATTATTGAGGAGAAAAGAGGTACTCCGATCATCCATAAGAACAGCCGGTTTACTATCAGGTTATCATCATACTTATCATCTACCACGATCATCTCCACCTGCGACATTGGCTTAATGACGAGAGATGTTTAATCTTCATTTCATGACACGCCTGCTCGCGAACCGTCGGCGAGATTTAATCTTCTAATAGCACCGCCGGCAGATGGATTGCTGTGGTTTCTTCAGGAGCGAGTCGCTCTATTTTTCTCGTCACTGTGTATCTTTTCCCTTCTCCGTCCCCTTCATCCTTGCTGGCGTCCTGGGGGTCAACGCTTATATAGGCAACAGCGATGGTAACCAACCTGCCTAATCTCTTCCGAACCTCCTGCGCAAGTTGGTAGTTTAACGCGCTGATCTCTTCTCCCGCACTGCTGCAGATAGAGCCTTGCTTTGCCGTGGATAAAATCTGAGTGCACGTGATAGAGATAATCCTTGATCAACATGTCTAAATGACGGTGGGCCCCACACTTTATATGAGTTGATCGAATTGTTTCTTCTAGAGATAATTTACGAGTGGCAGCAAACCAATTAACGACTGCTAGCACTAGCACTAGTTGATCTCTTCTCTTTTACTAGCGTATATCTCTTCAATTGCGCATCAAACTTAAATTCTATTCGAACCATCATTTTCTATTTGATATATACAGCAAAACGAGTCCAATATTGATTATATTCGGATATTGTGTGATAATTGGATTTTTAGGCCACACGTCATAAAGACACCCCTAACGTGTATTTACTAAAATTGAGCTGTAAATAGCATTTGCATATGAACTTGATGCCTAATGATTTATTATTTTTTCTGTGAATTTTATAGTACAAAAATTCATCAAACAGCGGGTGCTGCCATTGATGAAGACCTTATACATGTTCGTGCATAATAATTATGTTATTTTATGCATGTGGCAATTTAATTAACAACATAATAACTATATCCATCGATTTTAATTTGTATTTCTAAATGTCGCCGTAGTGTAGCACGGACAGATTAAGTATTAAAAGATAATCAGAAAAAAGAAAAAAAAGAAAATCGAGAAAAAAAAAGAAGAGAGTAAAGAAAGCAAAAAAAACTGCAAAAAAAAAAGAAAACGAAAAAAATTGCCGCGCGGGGGAGGAGAGCGTGCCAGCTGGACTTTATGGCCTATTCCGTTTTTCATTTGCATACTACATCCGCATTTGTCGAGTTTGAAACATCGTTAGTACAAACCCATTCGTAGGTAGCCAACCCCATTATTCCTCTAATAGCTTATTACTATTCAGCTTCCGTGTGCATTTCACTAAAAAATAAAGGGACCTGACACAGAAAAAAGAGGTTCTCGCACTGTTACACGTGACAATTTTTGGAAAGCGTACGTCCCCTATGTGCTGTAGCTCGACATGCGCGCGCGTATCTCCACCCACGCGTTGGCCAAAATGGCCTCGCCGACTTGTTTGACATCGAAAAGAAAACGAAGGCTGCTATACCCAATCCGATTATCACCGTAATGCATCCGCCCTTAATAAAAAAAAAGAAAAACTACTCAACACTATTTCGTACACGCGGATAACTGCTATCACTAAATATCTAAGTATCTTATTCTCTTTTTTTTCTCTTCCCCTTCCATCTTTCCTCCTCTGTGTGACTACCAACCTCAAGAGCATAGAGACGACAATAGCGGCTAACTGCGCGGGGTGGCGCGTTGAGCATAGAGGACGCTCGGCCCGCTCTTCTTCGCTGGCGCCGCGCGGAGCTACTCCCGCTGGCTCAGGAACGCACAGCGCGGTGCCAAATCAACGTGCGAGCTCTCGCGCCACCGCTCCCCTCCGTCCATCCGCCTCCCCATGCCGGCGGTGCTGCTCCGCCACTCGCATCCATTTCTTCAATTCCTGCACTCCATTCCACTCTGGCTGATTCCTCCATCCCCTCCCCCAGCTGGCAATGCTTCACCGCCGCTTGCATCCCTTCCTCATGTGTGTTTTCTCTTTTTGATTGATGATTTTCTTTGCTGATTTTTTTTTCTGACTTATATGGATAGTATCGATTCCCCTGTCCCATCCTTGTGAATCTCTCCAATTCCATAGGTACCAGGTACTACACACCATGCAACTAGTGCCATACTGGTATCAGGTATCAGATACTAGGTATCAGGTACTAGTTACTAGGTATCAGGTACTAGATACTAGTTACTAGATATCAGGTACTAGGTACCAGGTACTAGGTATCAGGTATCAGGTATCATGTACCAGCCTATATTGTGCTGCTCCGACTGCAGAGGAGCGGTGCCAGCGATGAGGTATCGCACGCGCGATACCGAGGAGGAATCGGATAGGTATCGCGCCTATGGTATGTGGTATCAGGTACTAGGAGGGAGCACATGTTCACCACGTGAAATCTTACCTATACAGAAGAAAGGAAAGGAGTTAAAGGAATCAGATAGGTATCGCGATTATGGTACGTGGTACCAGGTACCGGAAGGGAGCACATATTCACCATGTGGAATCTCACCTATAAAAAAAAAGTAAGGGATGAATCACTTAAAGTATCCTGTAGCAACAAGATCCCGTATAGCTACCCTCTTAAAAAAAATGGCACACGCCGCTAGCGACGACGTGGGGCGGCCAGTTTTGGCTAAATCTAAATCTAAACAGCTCCTGCATTCCGTCAACTACTAAGCAAAATCATATACTCGCACAGTCAGCCTCCACCACAAGGTCCAAGCCGGCGCCGATGCGCCGTGTCATCTTCCGCTGGGAATCTGTCTGTTGGAGATGCCGAACCACACAATTTGCCGTAGTTGTGTAAACTAGCTGATCAGTAGCCGGCTCTACTACTATAAAAGAGATCAAGTCTCAGGCCAAACTAACTTACTCAGAGAGTCGCAGATCGAGAGAGCTAACGATTTCTCATCTCGCGGTGGCCATGGCGGGTAGCAGCTACGGCGACGTTCATGAGTCTGCAAGAAAGTGAGATCACAACGGTTTAATTTTTTTTCCCGCGTGTTGTGTGCGATGCATGAGCTTGTCGGTGATCTTACACGTAACTCTGCCATGTTATCGTGTGTACGTTGGTGTAGGTTGGTGGGCAAGGTGGCGCTGATCACCGGCGGCGCGAGCGGCATCGGGGAGTGCACGGCGCGGCTGTTCGTGAAGCACGGGGCGCAAGTCGTGGTCGCCGACATCCAGGACGAGGCGGGGGCGCGACTGTGCGCCGAGCTCGGGAGCGCCACCGCCAGCTACGTGCGGTGCGACGTGACGAGCGAGGACGACGTCGCGGCCGCGGTGGACCACGCCGTGGCGAGGTACGGGAAGCTGGACGTCATGTTCAACAACGCCGGGATCGGCGGCGCGGCGTGCCACAGCATCCTGGAGAGCACCAAGGCCGACTTTGACCGCGTGCTGGCCGTGAACCTGACGGGCCCGTTCCTGGGCACGAAGCACGCGGCGCGGGTGATGGTGGCCGCGGGGCGCGGCGGGTGCATCATCGGGACGGCGAGCCTCGCGTCGGCGGTGGCCGGCACGGCGTCGCACGCGTACACGTGCGCCAAGCGCGCGCTGGTGGGGCTGACGGAGAACGCGGCGGCGGAGCTGGGCCGCCACGGGATCCGCGTCAACTGCGTGTCGCCCGCCGCGGCGGCGACGCCGCTGGCCACGGGGTACGTGGGCCTGGAGGGGGAGGCGTTCGAGGCCGCCATGGAGGCCGTGGCCAACCTCAAGGGCGTGCGCCTCCGCGTGGAGGACATCGCCGCCGCCGTGCTGTTCCTCGCCAGCGACGACGCGCGCTACGTCAGCGGCCACAACCTGCTCATCGACGGCGGCTGCTCCATCGTCAACCCGTCCTTTGGCATCTTCAAGGACTGAGACGATCGATCGGCTGGCCATGCATTGACAAAGATCGATCGACGCTGTCACGTTAGGCTTGTGTCACGATCGACGCTGTCACAGTTTATGTTTGACTTATGTTCTTAATTTTTTTAAAAAATAAATTTTAAAAGGATGGACGATTAAAATTGAACACGAAAATTTATATATATGTTTATTATGGGACAACGAGAGTACTCCCCACGTCCCAAAAAAACCAACCTATTACTAGATATGACACATCATAATACTATGAATTAGGATATACATATATCCAGATTCATAGTACTAGAATATGTCATATCTAGTCCTAGATTCGTTTTTTATAGGATGGAAGGAATATTGTTTTCTTGAAGAAACGTGTACTCTCTCCGTCCTATAAAAACCAACATAGTACCGGATGTGACACATTCTATTACTATGAATATGGACATACATCCTAGTACTATGTCCAGATTCGTAGTAGTAAGATATGTCCTATTCGGTGTTAGATTCGTTTTTTATGGGACGGAGGGAGTACGGTCGACTGAGTTCGGGCCTGTTTAGATCCCACCCCAAAATTTTTCACCTTGCCACATCAAACGTTTGAACACCTGTATAAAGTATTAAATATAGGCTAAAAACAACTAATTGCACATATTGAGACTAATTTGCGAGACGAATCTTTTAAGCCTGATTGCTCCATAATTTGATAATGTGGTGCTACAGTAAATATTTGCTAGTGGCAGATTAATTAGGCTTAATAAATTCATCTCGTGGTTTACTGACGGATTATGTAACTAATTTTTTTATTAGTGCCCGAACACTCCATACGACACCCTATATAATGACTTATGTGAGACGCCAAAACTTTACACTCCTTGGTGTGTTGCCGGCTGGCGGCTGCAGCCTGCACCAGACTTCTGTCTCGTACTAGTACTCTCATGTCGTCGTGTGTGACCAATTAATGCGGCCACATGTCACCTACCTACATCACATGCCAATTGATGTTGTTTGGCTGTAGTATTTCAGAAAATCTACTGTACAGTATCCCGTAGACACGGGATAAGTGGATAACGTTTTACTCTTATCCAATCCCACTCTTTGTTTTTTCTCTCTTCCAGATCCCACTCTGATGATAGAGTGGCCCTAAAAATAAATCTAGAGTACTATGCCCTCCTCACTGCTAGATCCAGAGCGAGTGGGCAACACCAATCTCATGGCCTCCTCTGTCTCATGGCCACCTCCTCCGTCTCATGCTTTTGAGGCATGGTGGCACCCACTGGATCTAGCTCTCATGGCGGCGGGGGCGACTTGGAAGAAGCAAGGTCATCAGGAACTGGGAGGATGAGGCCCAACGTGTGCTCCTCAGCCTCCTCCTTCAACGTGCGTTGTTGATGGTGATAAAGGGGCAACGTGATGGTGAGCCATCATGCTCCTCGCCCGATTGTGTGCAGGTATGTCTACAATGTATCATCAGCAGCCGGTACTCGTAGGTATCATGCCTGATACCTATGGTATCGCGGACCGGTACCCCGTATCATGCCTGGTACCTGTGAATATCACAATTGATAACTAGGTATCAGGCCTGATACCTGTAGGTATCAGGCTTGGTACCTGGGTTTCATGGTTAGGTGTTAGACCTGGTACTCGTAGGTATCAGACCTGCTACCTGGTACCTGGGTATCATGGTTAGGTGTCAAACCTGGTACCCGTAGGTATCATGGTTGGTACTCACACGTATCAGTCCTAGTACTTAGGTATCAAGGCTAGGGCTGGCACCTGCAAAGTATCAACTATCAACGCTTCCTCTCCTTTTTTCCCTTCCCCTAGGCTCAACTATCGTTCCTTGCTGTTGTGACCAGTATCGTTGCCTACGACACTACCGGCACTAGCTCAAGACGTGGGGGGTGCGAGCACATGGAAGTTGGGGGAGGGGGATAATGCTAGACTTACGGGGAGGAAGCTGATACGCTAACCTATATAAAGTATCCTGTTCTCTAGTAGCCCTCGTAGTATTTTGGGTTAAGTTACGTTATACTAGTATGGTAATTAAACAAGAAATGGAAAAAGCTATAATATGTATGGTCAAATTGCAACCTCCAGATTTCAGACCGCACTACCCATGGTGTGTTCGTTCGAGAAATTCGGTTGAGTAAAACACTAACTTCATGAGAATGTATACGATGAAAACATGTTAAGTGTTAGAAACTTATAAAAATCATACCTAAAAGTTTTATAAATTTATAAAAAGAATTAAAATAGGTGTATATATGAAATATATTCTCACCAAATTTTAAGTTCAAACTCAACTTTATTTGGGAGTAACAAAACAAGAAAAATTGGTTGAATAGTAAGATGACACTATTTATCTGAAATTTGCTATTTTTGCTTCTCTCGAATGAAGTTGAGTTTGGGCTTGGCATTTGGTGAGAATGTATTTCATATATGCACATATCTCTCATTTTTTTTCAAGAATTTATAAAACTTTTAGGTATGATTTTCCTGAGTTTTTAACACTTAGCTCATTTTCATCGATCGCCGAGGATCAATTTGTATTTTTTTAAAAAACTGACCTACTTATAATAAAAAAATATCTAGTTGACTAGTTGTAATTAAAAATATTTACAAATAGGTCCTCGATGTCAGTGTCATTGACATTAAAGACCTATTTGTAAATATTTTTTTTATTACAAATAGGTCATTTTCTGCTACAAATAGGTCCATTTAATTTGTTTGCCATGGTCCCTCTTCAGATTAGCGACTTAACTTTCACCGAGAGGTGAGAGAGATTGGCGCCGTCATATTGTACCACGGCGCCAACGACGTTGACACCACGAAAAGAATCCATTTATATAATAAGTTTTCTGGATCTATTTATAGAATAAGTTTTTTCAAAAGTACTAGGCTGTGTTCGGGAGTCCCTAGCACGGAAAACAGAGCCACGATTAGCACGTGATTAATTAAGTATTTGCTATTTTTTTAAAAAAATAGATTAATATGATTTTTAAGCAATTTTCGTATATAATTTTTTTTTTGCAAAAAACACATCGTTTAGCAGTTTGAAAAGCGTGCACGCGGAAAACGAGGGAGGGAAGTTGGGAACCGGAGGTAAAGAATGCAGCCTAAGTTGAAAAATCCAGATCCAATTCGTACCGGAGGTAAAGAACGCAACCTAAGTTGAAAAAATTCGTACCTATTAAGTTACATGCACCAGCCAGTTGCACCTAAAAGCCTAAGCTGATAGGGAAAGGTGGGCAATTCACTTTATACACTCCAACACTCCCCTTCACGCGAGCTGCAATTATTTTATTTAATTGCGCGCCAGCCAGAATTCGAACTCGAGACCTCTGGCTCTGATACCATATTAAGTTGCATGTACTGACCAGTTCAACCCAAAAGCTTAAGCTGATAGGGAAAGGCGGATAATTCATTCCAACGGTACCTACGAACTCTCCAAGTATCGCTGTACAATTGGATAAAGAGACCTAATTGTTGAAGATATGCATATCTAATTATAATTGGACCATTGGCCCTTATTTGTTTGAGCTGGCCCAGACAATTTTAAATTCAAGAACAAAAGTAACTTTTCTTTGATTATTACTATATAAAATATGTTTGAAAAAACGACTACACACGTAGCAGTTGCATCCCAAACCCATATATTACCAGTATATGTACTGTTCCCCAACACATGATAATATATAGAGGACTAATGATAAATCAGTTAACCTCACTGAATTGTTACTAAAAATGTACCTGCGTGGGCACTACCTCCGCTCCATTTCAAAATAAACAACCCTATAATATGTATTAAAATTTGAATTCTAGTATCTCAAAGTACTTCACAGCTGTTGTGCATACCAGAACATAATTAATTCGATCAAGTATTTTTCTTTCATTACCTTTTATTTATCAACAATGTTTTTTAGACGATATAATTACAAATATACTTAATTATTCTTTCAGTAGTATGAAACATACCAATCGGTAACAAGACGTCTATAGTGATTTCGTGAATATCTAGATATGCAGGTCTTTTCAAATGTGCTCACATCAATAGGACATTTGTACGTGTATGAGTTTATAGAGGTGAGTATGAATATATTTATATAAGCGCTTGTGTTTGTATTATGATTTAAAAAATTATAAAATCCTACACTAAAATTACTTTTCGTTTTTAACGTGTCTTCGGCTTATAAACCACACCCGTTAAAGCTGCCCCGTAAGCCAGCCCAGCGTATCCAAAACAACATGCAAAGGAGGAAATAAGTCTATTTTGATTCCCACAACTCATGACTCTAGTTGAATTGCATTTCTCAACCGTAAAACCGGGTATAACTCATCCCCCAACTTTTAAAATTGTTGCAAATCGACTCCCCCAGTGGTTTCGGACTACGTGGCGGATTGACTTGGTCTTTATCCTACGTGGAATCGACGTGGCGCATGCATGGCACTAAAATAAAAACAAATCTAAATGGACCCACATGTAAGTGCGTAAAACAATACAAAAAATTTTGGGCCCACGTGTCAGCTACCCTTTCTCCTCCCTCTTCCTTTTCTCTCTCTTCAGGTGGATAGCAATTGGTAGTGACCGGTGGATGGCGGCAGCGATGGCGAGGCGAAGTCCGCCAGAGGACGAGGACTACAATGGAGGCGGCCAAGCCACCGAGTTCGACGACTAGGTCAGCGAGAGCAGTCCGCTAGACCTCGCTGGCGAATGAGCTCTCCGTTGCAGGCGACGCGCGAGTGGTGCGGTGTTGATCTCGGCGAAGGGGACGAGCTCCAGGAGGCACACGACGACCATGGTGCGCACAACGTCGAGGCCGCCGGGGGTAGCAGCGACAGAGGCAGGGGAGGATCAGGGCGAGGTCTTACAGCGGGTGGAGCGCACTTGGTCTCGGAGAGAGCGGCGGTGGTGGGTCTTGAGGCGGCGGGGCTCTTGCCGTGGCCGGCGTCGGGGTTCGGGATGGGAGCAAAGGGGCGGTCAGGCGATGATGCAGCGAGAGCGGTCGAGGGAGGGGACGAGGTCGGTATGAGGCGCTGGAGCGAGGTGACGAGGTCCATCTGCGTCTCCTGGCGGAAGCCGATGGCCTCCTCCAGGCTCTAGGCTCCGGCGCTGCACAAGCTCTGCCTCCGCCCGTGCACCCGGCAGTCGCGGTCGCGCGCGCCGGCGCCTCCTTCTCGTCGTCCTCCATGGCTCCACCGGGGTCGCCAACGTCATGGGCTCCTCTTCCGCACCGGTACAGGATTGTCCCAGAGATGAGGAGCGGCGGCAGGGGAGGGGCGGGGGCGGGGGCAAGCGAGGTGGATGAGGGAAGAAGGGGCTCCTGCCCCCGACGCCACCGGCATAGTAGATGGCGGTGGTGATGAACGCTGATCCCACTTCCGCGGCGCAGAGCCCACTTCCACTTTCGCGCACCTCGTCTTCGCCTTCGCGTTGTTGCTCTCCGTCCCACAGCCGCCACTGCTGCCATACACCGCCGCTCGCCGCCGAGCGCTCCCTCGCCGGCATGACGGCATCCATCCCCTATCACTCTGCGGAGACATAGGGATGAAAACGGAGCGGATTTGGACAGATAATGGTCATACCATATCCTAAACCATAATTTTTAAGCCGATTCGGAGCAGGTGCGGATATTGTACGGATGCGGATGCGGAGCGGATTGTTTCGGATGTCAGAAATAGTGCGGAATCGGTTTGAAAATGGATTAAATTTATCGGATGTTACGTGTATATGCAATCAATGCAAAATCGAGTTAGCAATCTCAGGAACAATAATACAATAATCCATAAATGACCCATCGTAATAAGTATATGATTAAGTGCTAAACAACATGAATACATGATGTCCATAATATAAAAAATATAGCTACGTGAGTGTGACATGAGACGATAAAAGCCTTAGACTTAAAAATCTATGTTAATTAATGAATTAGGGCATTGGATGTACCAACTTATGTTATATAGAATAGATAGAGTGGTTATATATGTTGATAATCTCGGATTATCCGGCAAACGGCTTATCACATAATGTCGGATTTTAGAGACACCATATCCGCATCCGCATCCGCATCCATCTCATACTATCCGCATCCGTATCCCCCGGATTTCGAAAAGCCCATACCATATCCTCGTTTCGAACGGATTCGAAGCGGATCGGATCAGATATTATCCGATCCGTTTTCACCCCTACGGAGACATGTGGCTAAGAAACGGAAAGAGAAAGATGAACTAACACGTGGGCCCAATATTTACTTTTATTGTTTTACTCAATGACATTTGGGTCCCGTTTTGTTTTTTTTTAAAATTTAATGCCACGTAAGCGCCACGTTGATGCTATGTAAGATGAAAACCAAGTCAACCCGCTACGTAAGTGCTATGTAGGATGAAACCGCTATTAAAACCACCGGGGGATTCTATTTGCACCGGTTTTTGAAGTTGGGGGATGTGTTATACCCAGTTTTGCAGCCGAGGGATGTGATTCAACCAGGGGCATAAGATGAGGGAGGAAAAGTAGACTTATTCCTGCAAAGGACGCCGATCCCCTACTTCCCTGGAGTCCAGGAGCAGATCAACACAGGCCAGTATGAACACACAGCCCAGAAACGTGCCACCCCCCAGCCCAGAAGAACCGGCCCATGTGATCCACGAGAGGCGGGTGGGTAGAAGTGAGCTGGTCGCGAGGAAAATTCGTCGACGCCGCGGAGGGTTTATAGCGAGCGCCGAGCGGAGCATCCGAGGGGATAAACCAGCCGCCCCGCAACCCAACAGCTATCTTTTCCCATTTCTCCCCGCCCCCCCAACCCCACCTCCAATCCCTCTCGTCGTCGAGGCGAGCGCGGGCGCGGGCGCGGGCGGCGAGATGGAAGGGATGGGGCAGCAGAAGAGGCGGCCGCTGGTGGTGATGGCGTCGGCGCAGGCGGCGGCGCGGGGTGGGGCCAACCCGCTCGCGGAGCTGACCGACCGCGTCAAGACCCTGGAGGCCGGCCTGCGGGCGTGGCTGGCGAAGCAGCCCACGCACGTCGAGGCCGCCGTCGCCACCGCCGTCGGGGCCGTGCAGGGCGGCGCCCTCGGCGGGCTGATGGGCACGCTCGCGCCGGACGGCGGGTCGCCGTTCCCCGTGCCGCAGCCGCCGCCCGGGGCCGACCCCAACGCCCTCGCCTCCTTCAAGCAGGCGCAGGTCTCGTCTTCTTCCTATACTATACATCTCGTAGTTATACAGTATACTCAATAATAATAGGAATAATAGGGGCGCAGTAAACAAATTTAATATTTCTTGGATGCTTGTTGAGGATTATAGTAGAATATAAAGCGACCAAACATTTCTTGATAAAGCACCGACGGTAACTGGTTATCTGGTATGCATCGACAATGTCGGGGTTCTTTTGTTCAAATTTGAGAATAATGATGCAATTCCCGAAGGAAGCAAACTTTATTAAAGAAAAGGAAGATGGGTGCTTTTTGTATGCATGTGGTAGCATTTTAAGAAAGCAAACACTCTGCTTTGATTTGTTTTACTGGTGCAATAGTCTTTATTGTTCCTCAAGATTGTCTGTGTAGAGCTAAAAGGTCGCACTATATCAGTATCCTTGATGTAAAGAACTGCAAAGGAACCATTCTGTGTTCTCCTCTAAGCAATCAGAATAACGGGATCTTTTTTTTGTGTGTATTTCAGGCTTTGGCAGGTGGACCACTGGTGCAAGCCCGAAACTTTGCCGTCATGACTGGTGCTAATGCAGGAATATCTTGTGTTATGAGAAGGATAAGAGGAGTGGAGGATGTCCAGGGCAGGTGAGGGTTCACAAGTTCTATTTTACTGTCATGTAAATACTCGTTAGTAGCAGCAAAGCCAGTACACTTATTGCACGAATGCATCTTATTCTGTTCATATATACTATATTCCCTTTCTTTCTTTCCCACATGTGAGTTGCTTACCAGTTGTCGATATAACTACTAGTTTGAGTTTCTAAGATTTTTTCTTTTGTCAAATTAATATTGGTGTAAGCCACTCATGACTGACTAATATTAGATGTAAGAAACCTGAAAGCCACGTGTCTGTGTTTTTATGAAAAATCTACCTAAGAAATTATACTGCTTAAATCAAAATGAGCAAGACTTGACTCACTGGTGCGAGTACATTTTGTAATCTTCAACAAACTCAAGATAGAAACATAACAAAAGCATCTACGGGTCTTATGATAAACTTTAAATGCTTTACTAGTTAAGAAACTAATTTATAAATTAGTGCTGAAAACCGAAAAAGAAATGCCGACTCTATCACCAGAAGGGTATATTACAAGTTTGGAAGGCTGATTATTGACTATCTATATAAATCGTGTTGATTACTTGATTTTTTTTTCACCTGCGTGATTGACAAGTGCTCATTTCGATAGCATGGCAGCAGCGTTTGGTTCTGGCGCTTTATTCTCCATTGTGAGTGGAATGGGGTCTCCAAATCCAGTTGCTAATGCAATTACAACTGGTGTAGCTTTTGCAGTATTTCAAGGTGGTTTTTTCATGGTAAGAATTTCAATGTTTCTCTTTCTAATGAAAGCCATTTTTATACAACTTGAATTATCTCAAGATTTTAGTACTGGATGTGAGTACCAATTTCATTAGTACTTGACATTAGACATGTGCATTGCAACTAGTTGATATTTTTGTTTGATGTCCTGTCAGTGGATTAGGATTTAGGGCCCATTGGTACTATCCTTTTTAGCGATAAATTTGATATCAGTTGTAATTCTTTTTGCCTACAAATCTATTTTGTAGATTGGTCAGAAATTTTCGCAGCCACCGAGTGAAGATATATACTATTCCCGTGGGAGAAATATGTTGAAACAATTAGGGCTTCAGAACTATGAGAAGAATTTCAAGAAGGGTCTTCTTACTGATCAAACATTGCCCCTACTCAATGACAGGTATATATATTTTTTATTCAATTTATTTCCTACAGTAGATGAAAAAACATAAGTATTTAAAAAAAATATTGATATGCCAAAAAATTGTCCTTACCAATAATAAAATTCTATATGCCAAAAAGTTGTCCTTACCAATAATAAAATTCTATGTTTATATTGATCCAGTGCACTTAGAGATGTGAAGATCCCCCCTGGTCCCAGACTTCTCATCCTTGATCACATTCAAAGGTTTGGAACAGCTGTACAAATTTCTGGTATGTAGCATTTAGTTTCATTGATCTGATATAATTTTCGTCACACGACTTTTGCAGAGACCCTGAGTTAACGAAATCAACTTAAATCGATTGCCACAGCCTGTTGGCACCAGCTTTTCCTCAAGTTGCATAAAATCGTGTTCTTGGAAGTACAATCTAGCTATTTCAAGGATGAGCTCTTTAGGCAGAAGTGTGATTGGAAAAGATAGCTCATAGACGTTTTTGTAGTCATCAAACTATGATAAATTTAGATGGATGATATGCACTGAAGTTACCCTCGAATTACTAGCTTCCTGTTTTTAGTCTTGAACGGTTGAATCTTATGCTGAGTGGTTGATATTTCCAATTGGGCAAGTCAAGATAGAACACTTTCCATAAGTTGTGTATGTTATAAGTTAATAATCTATTGGGCCTTTTCCAAGTTATCCCGGTGTGTGGAGTGTATCTTGCAATTTCTTCAGAGGTAAGTTCTTTAAGAGAACTAAAGCTGCTTGGCCAAGATGGTCTTTTCGTATTACTGTAGACTGAATGGAGTAATGCAGTTCCCAGGTAATGTGAAGGTTGAAAACCTTCAGAACCCAAGTCCACTTCCAGTGATGCGTAAATCAACTAGATGGACACAGCAGCAAATGGATGCGTATTGGACCATCTAATCATGTAAATGGTTCAAGTACCTTTTGAAATTCAATGATATGTACAGTTGATGTTAGATTCAAATTTACATTATATGCATGGAGAAATTCCAGCATGTGGAGGCTATGTACATGAACTATGGAACCTATGCATGCACAAGAAGCTTGCTTATCGGTGTGGAAGAATAAATGAGTAAATCACGAATATACATAGGGTGTTTGAACCTTCAAAGTGTTGGTGTCGGATCGGATAATTGGACGGTCTGATCATTCAGTCGGCTCAAGCAAGGTTTCCCCGTGGCATCAGTGTCCACCATTATGGTGTCACCAGGCTTGAACTGACCAGACAGAATTGCTTCGCTGATAACATCCTCAACCAGCTGAGTGACGGCTCTTCTTAGTGGCCGTGCACCGTAGCTCTTGTCGTACCCATGCTGAGAAATCAGGTCCTTCATGGAATCAGACACCTCTAGGCCAATCCCAAGGGCTAAAATCCTACCCTTCACCTCTTGCAGCATTATATTGAGAATAGCCAGCATCTGCAAATTGTCAGGCAAGTGTCAGTGGCTTACATCAGGCATTTGCGTTGGTTGCCTGAACATGTAGAAATTTATAGCACAACGTGCTACAAGGGAACAGAAGGAACGGATATAAGGGCGATTCTACTCTATGTGAGCAAAAGGTATCGCAACAAGATGAATATTTTGTTTGTTTTCGTTATGGAGTGGTAGCATTTCTAAACTCACAGTATTAACAAAAGTACAAGGCAATATGCAAGTGCAGTATCTATAAAAGCAACATGCCTGAGTTTTCTCAAGAGGGTGGAACACAACCACTTCATCAATTCTATTGAGCAATTCGGGACGGAAAAATGCCTTCAGTTCTTCCATTACCAAAGATTTCATTGCAGCATATGACTTTTCTTCAGTATCAGTTTGTGTCTGGAAACCTATGCTCCTCTTTCCATTAGAAATTGATGTGGAACCAACATTTGATGTCATCACAATTAATGTATTCTTGAAGGAAACCCTCCGGCCCTGCAATTCACATTTGAGAGTTAGCATAAAGATGATGAGGCATGACAATCATATTATTGAGTATTCAAAATGCTCGATTTCATAGACAAGGCATGAGGTATGCAGCATAATTTGCAGATATGAGATCACAAATCTCATATCTAGTACCTGTGAATCAGTCAAATGACCGTCTTCGAATATTTGAAGAAGAATATTGAAAATATCAGGATGAGCTTTCTCTATTTCATCAAGCAACACCACAGTGAATGGTTTTCTCCTGACTGCTTCAGTCAAAGTACCACCTTCACCAAATCCCATGTATCCTGGAGGAGAGCCTATCAACTTGCTCACAGCATGCCGCTCCATATACTCACTCATATCTAACCTAACAGTAGCTGATTCCTGTGAAATGAAAGAAGCAACATTTTCAAAACAACGAAATATGTTGTGAACTCAATAGTATTAGAAGGATATAACCAGCAAAGAGTGACCCACAGATCCAAAATAACTTGCTGCTAGAGCTTTCGTGAGCTCAGTTTTTCCAACACCTGTTGGGCCACAGAAAATTAGTGTAGCAATAGGTCTGTCAGGGTCATTGAGGCCAACACGCGATCTCTTCACAGCTTTAGATATGGCTAGAACAGCATCGTCTTGACCTATGACACGTTTCCTGAGTTCATCATCCAGTCCTACTAGAAGCTTTCTTTCATCTGCAGTCAACTGCTGAACTGGTATGCCTGACCACAATGATGTGACTCTTGCAATTTCCTCTGATCCAACCAGAGATGGTCTGCATTGTAAATGTATTGTAAATATTATGTGCTTAGATTGCAGAATGGGGAGTTTAGTCTGGATGAGAAAAGAGAACCTACTTATCAGTTGAAGTTGATAGCATAGATGCTGGACTTGTTTTGTCCTCACCCACGAGTTCAATATCAACAGCATCCTCTTGGTCATTCTGATTTAGAGAATATTTTACCTTGTTAGTCAGTGCCTGAAAAGTGGTGGGCAATGAAATATTAATTCATTGAAAATCTATCAGCATATCAACAAAAAAAAAATCTTTGCAACAGCATATTGAGTATTGTTAATCTTCTATTACCACTTCATGCATGTTCTGGACAGCTCTAATCTCTTGCCAGTACTCATCTGGTGATTTTGAGAGAATAGAGCATTGTTCCTCCTTCTTCCTTTTAAATGATTCCATCCTAGCTCTACTGCCAGCTTCATCAATTAGATCAATGGCCTTATCGGGAAGATGTCTGTCAGCAATATATCTTGCTGACAAATAAACTGCTGCATTGATGCTTTCCAAAGTGTATTTGCATTTGTGATAGGTCTCATACTTCTCACGCAGACCAAGTAATATCTTCACAGCATCCTCCTGCAGAGAGTTCAAGAGAATTGAAATAATGATCAAGTGGAAGGTAACCCCAAGAGCAGAGAGTTCAAGAGATTTGAAATAATGATCAAGTGAAAGGTATCCCCAAGAGCAGAGAGTTCAAGAGATTGAGATAATGATTAAGTGAAAGGTAACCCTAAGAGACAAGTGATTTCTGAAATTGAAATTTGTATTACCTGGCTAGGCTCATTCACCAAAACAGGCTGAAATCGGCGAGCCAAAGCCTTATCCTTATCAAAATGCAATCGGTGTTCATCCAGAGTTGTAGATGCAATACACTGCGAAAAAAATACATCACAATAGGGAAAGGACAAATAAACTTGGTTCCTTTTATAGTAGAGAACACTTTGCACTCAATTGCAGATGACCAAAAATAATCCATTATACTTCACAGCGGGTGTTGTCCATACAGATCATGTCCATGATATTAATGAACATTTTAGAGACTAGACATCCTTCTTCAAAGGAATATCCCTCAAGTGCACATGGAAGGACATCAAGAGTGTGTGTAGCAGTACTGAAAGGGTCAGTTAAATACTGAAGCCCTAGCACCAAGTGTTACTTGGATATATTGCAACTTATTTTAACAAAAAGAATTGAATATAGATAGGATGTGCATAAGTATTGTTGTATGTCAACAGGTTGCAGGTAGAGTGGTATTCATAATACTTCAATGATACAAATAATGGAACACATGTATGGCATATTTAACTTTATTTTTAAGGGATTACCTATTGAATTATATTTATCTATTATTTTCTGTTTGGAAACTGCACTAAATTAGCCATTCCACACCACTAGATAAATAGATATTCACCTAGACAGTAGGTAAAATGATGCAAACCCAGGCACCAATTGCTGCTAATCCAGAAAAGAATCAAGTAGTTTTGAGAAACAAAATGGGCAACATGGATTGAGGGATGCCTTTTCATGACATATACCTGCAATTCTCCTCTAGCCAGTGCAGGCTTCAGCAAATTCGCAATATCAAGACCAGCTCCTTTGCTTCCTCTTCCAGCAATCCCAGACCCAATAAGAGTATGGACTTCATCAATGAACAGTATAACATCACCTGCATGAAACTTTGGAGCTCTTTGAAGATTGAAGACCAAGAACGGAAGTTTTGGATCTTGTAATGCATCAAGTCAGAATGTCAGATAACCTGCTTTGCGCACTTCACGTATTAAACTAGTAACTCTGGCTTCCAGTTCACCCCTCTCTTTAGCACCAGCCATTAGTAGAGCAACATCCAATGATAATATACGCTTTCCCTACATAACCATGTCAATGAATGGTAATTATCAGGTATTAAGTACAATCGAGCAAGCAAAATTATGCAACCAACATGATTGTATCCATCTCTTGTAGCTAAAACTTACCACGAGGAAAATAGGAACATCTCCATTGGCAATTTTATGGGCCAAACCCTCAGCAATGGCAGTCTTACCAACACCTGCTTCGCCCAAAAGAATTGGATTGTTTTTCGTGCGGCGGCATATAATCTGAACTACTCTTTCAATCTCATCCTTGCGACCAATAACAGGATCAATCAATCCTCCACTGGCTCGCATGGTCAAGTCTAGACAAAATAGAGCCAGTGCACTCTTCTCTGAAATAACAATAAGAGCAAGTTCATCCTTTCTACATCTGTGCTATCAAGAATAGTACTAGCTATTAGTTCAATAAAGTGATGTCAAACCAGACCTTTATTTTTATTCGAGTATTTGACAATTGCAGACTTCCCACCTCCAGGAGTAAATTTCTCACGCACTTTAAAAGAAGATAATCCGACAGGCTCTCTTCCATCCTTTGCAAGCTCCCCTTGGACTCGGGTAAGTGCCTGCTTTGCTAGCTGACTTGAATCTACTCCTAAGCTAAAATGACAATCATTGTAAAAGGAAAAAAAAATCAATGAAAGTTTAGTGGTGGGATTTGTATTCAAAACGAGAATGCAGAGAATTGGTATTAACTACACTAAGCGGGGATGAATTGTATAAGTTTATAGGATTTTAAGGAATTAAACCCCAACTCCTAAAGCAACCGTCCTCGACCAAGCACACCCCTAAATGTGCAAAAGTACACTAATTATTTATTTTTCTCTTTATTAAGTGGAAATCCTTAGCGAAGTCCACATCCATCGCAACGTGAGCTTGCTGATGTGCAAATTCATTTACATTTCAGGTTGCATGGCTAATGAATTAGCTAATGGTATATAAAGATGCCTTCATTTTTCTAGTTTGTGAGCATACACATCTCTAAACTTCCAAAATATCGTTTGTTGTTTACTGGCCGATGAAAAGGTCGTAGGTGGTTGATGCATTGACCACACTATCGCGGATCATATGGAAGCATTTTTTTTTTTTGGGAAAACATGGAACAGGAGAACATCACCACAAACCTCTTAAGGACGTTGTTCGTGGTGGGATCGTTCAGGTTGAAGAGGCCGAGCGCAATGTGCTCCGGCGAGATGAAGTTGCATCCCATGTTCCTGGAGAACTCCACGGCGGCCTCGAAGACGCGCTTGCTGGCCCCCGAGAAGGGCACGTCCGTGGCCAGCCCGACCGGCGCCTGCGCGAGCCCTTCCTTGCCCACGGCGGCGCGGCACGCCTCGCGGGCGCGCTCGACGCGGACGCCCGAGGCGAGGAACCCCAGCGGCGACCGGTCCTCCGCGACGAGGCCCAGCAGCAGGTGGTGCGGCGCCACCGTCTCGTCCCCCATCCCGCGCGCCTCCCGCTGCGAGAACACCACCGCCTTCACCGCCCGCTCCGTGAACCGCTCGAACACCGCCCTCACGACGACGCCCCCGCGCCGCCGCGGCGCGGGCGCGGCCAGCAGAGCCGCGGACGCGCGGATCGGTCGCCCTGCCGCAACCGCCACCGCCCTCCCACCCCCGCCGGCCCCCGCAGGGGAGAACCGGCGGCGGAGGCCGGCGCCCGTGGCGAGGATGGACGCGGACGGCACCGACGACGACGAGCAGCAGCACGCCTCCATCGCCCTACCACGCGCCGCGAAGCTCGCTCCCAACTCCCCCCACGGTGTATGATTGATCGGATGCCGCTGCAGCCGAAGCCGCTTCAATTATGTGGCGGATTCTCTCACACCCGCCGCAAGGTTGTGGCTGTAAAGGTTCGCTCGCGAAATGGAATAGAATAATCGGGTGTGAGAAGGTGGTGTGGGGTGGGGTGGATGGAAGAACAGTGGAAGTGGAGGCGGCACGCAAGGAAGGAGGGGGAGGGAGGGGGAACCGGCACGGCGGAGGGAGAGAGATGCGGGGGTGGAGGCAGAGCGGGAGAAGAAAGGGATTTTCTGGCTTGGATTCCACCGTTGGCGTGCGCCTCCGCCGCGGGGGTATTCTCCGGTCGGGCGGCCACGCCCACGCCCACGCGCGCGCTTTATCCGAACGGAAGAGGGGATGGCTTTGCCTCGCGCCGTCCCGGGGGCCGTGCGATCGGGGACGGACGGCGCAGGCTGCGTCCGTAAGGTTAACCGGTGCATGGGCTGTTAGGAAAGTTGTGTGTGTACACGAAAGGTTTAATGTGATGGAAATTTGAAAGTTTGAAAAAAAAATTTTAGAGCTAAACAGGGCCATGGTATTGGGAGAGTACCGTTTCCATGGGTGTGGCGTCTGGGCAGCCCGATCAGTGTCTCGGATCGATTTGTTCGGTTACAAGTTTACGTCTAGGTACAGTGACGTGTGACAGAACGGGCACAACGAGGCGATTTCCTAATTGGTTGCACTATTTACATGTGCTTGCATGCCAACCAAAATGGTTAACAAAACGGTTGGTTTAAATGGGCAAATCCTAGTGTTGGTTACATGGAAATTGGCAGAATAGCGTACCTATACGATGTCTCGCTATCCACACATTTGCATGCACAATACAAACACACCGTTTAACATAACTCAAATATAATGTAATAGATGATAGATACATGAACATAAGAAAATCGTGTTAAAGCAATTCGTATGTACAAATGTCCATATATCGTATATAGATATCATGCATCGCAATATGTGTGTTCTATTTAAATCAGGATATGTCAATACGTGTGAATGTTTATAGAGGTAAGTATACCTCCTTGTACATGAGTTTGTAAAAAAAAAATCTCAGTTGAGTAGTGTTCTTACTTAATAAAATGAGATGGATTTTTTGTTCTTAGCCGAATAGATATTGAGAATTGAAATGGAAGTAGATGACCGGCCATAAGTGATATAGCAGTATAACCCACAACCCTACCACACCATTTAAGGCCCATTTTCCAAAGCTCCATGAATCCATTGTTCATGGAGCAGAAAACTCGTTAGAATAAGTCTATTTTGCGTCTCTTATCTCTTTTCTTGATTGAATGGTTTGAATCAACTCTCTCAACCATAAAATCAGGTATAATATCTCACACATCTTTAAAAAATAGTGCAAATCGATTCTTTGGGTAGTTTGGGAAGTGTTTTTTTTATTGATGTGGCAGATTGACTACAAGTAACTCGCTGAGCCAACAGATGAACCCACATGTTAGCGACTCTCCTCTCTTCCATACTCTTGTCACTAAGCCAACAGCCGTGATGCCTTGCATGTGGTGCGGTGCAGCATGATGAGGCCCAACCGACGCCACCCCCGACATGTGGGTCACACCTATTGAGTCAGCAAGTCAATCTCGGTCAACTTGCTATGTTAGCAAACTATTTTTCAACCCACCGAAGAAGTCGATTTGTGCTGATTTTTAAAAATTAGGGAGGTATTGTACCTAGTTTTGCTGTTGCAGGAGACGATTCAATAAGGAGGAATAAATGAGAAACGGACAATAGGCTTATTCCGAACTCGTTATCCGGGCCAACAAAGAGCTTACGGAGGCCTACAAATGAAGCGTTATAGAGAAGAACCCTCACTTGGGCCTCTCATTGATCTGCCTCCAAAAGGCCCAAAAGAGAGGGCTCGATAGCTCTAAAGCATCAAGGCGCGTGATCGCTATGATGGGCAAAACATTGGATCTCGTCTCGGCGCCATGTGTTCTGTTCCGATATTTTTTGGCCGGGTGGTACACCCTCCCACGATAGATCTCGCGTCTCGCGATTCATAACCTGATTTGATCCACGGCCCCGCAGGCCAAGTAGCACAGTAATACAGTATACTACCATGCTTCATATGATTGAGCGCGCTGCAATTTGCAGTAGCGAAAAAAGACACTCCCAAAAAGAATCGATCCAATGCAAAGAGGCTGGGGAATTCTCCCAAAAAGAATCGATCCAATGCAAGCAGTTGCAGCTAGAGCACAAGAACAAATATCGTGCCCGTACAGCAGACGGACAGAGGAGTTGGACGCGGACAGAAAAGCATCTCCATCTCCATATATCCTGTGACGGAGTCGGTCCTCCGATTGTCCAACGAACGCACCACATCGATCTGCATGCGAAAGCGAGAGGAGGGGGGGGGGGGGGGGGGGGCGGGACGAGACTGACTCGCCAATCCAACGGCCGCGAGGCGATCGATCGCCCCGTGTACGGCGAGGTCGGCTCGTGATCGAAGCGCCGAGACGGCGTCCGAGCTGTGTATGTGTATATATACGTGATATACGTACTGTACCATCCACCACGACAGGAACAAGGAGAGAAAAAAGGAGAAAAAAAAAACAAACACTGGAGACGAAACGGATTTGCGGATAGGCGCCACGCGCGCGCTGCGACGTTACATATACCCCGGCCCCGCCCGCGCGCCGAACGCTCCCTCGTCTCGTCTGCTACCTCTCGCTCGCGCGCCCGCCCGAAACCGATCGATCGATCGATCAGGTGCGGGGCGCGCGGTGGCCGTCGGTTGCGGGAGGCGCGCTTCCCATCGAGCGGATTACCGGAAGGCGAGGGAGACACCGATCGAGAGACAGAGGAGGCGAGGCGGTTGCGTTGTTGCGGGCGTTGTTGCGGGCGGGCGGTCAGGTGAGCGGGCGCGTCGCGTGCCGCATCGGCGCGGCGGGTTCACGCGCTTGTTGCCGCTTCGGTTGCTATGCCCGTTTTGCTACTCCGCGAGGCGGGGGCTTGGGACTGATTGATCGATGGGCAATGCAGGGGCGGCGGAGGCGGAGGCGATGGGGGGCTCGTACGAGCTCGTCAGGACGGACGACGCGGCGGGGCACGTCTTGGATCTGGAGGCCGGACGCTGCGCCGCCGTATACCCAAAGGGCGGCGGCGGCGGCGGCGGCATCGCTCCACCACCGGTGCCGTCTCCGCCTTCGTCTCCGGCGTCGGCGCGGCAGCGGCTCGTCTCGCTCGACGTGTTCCGAGGGATCACCGTACTGGTACGCGCAGAAATCACTCCCTTTTTTTACTTTGTTAAAAAAAATCTCTTTCTTTTCGCCGGTATGTTTTTCCTCCGATTATTCTGTCCTTTAAAGATTTCTACGGTTTATTCCTGCAAATCTTTATGGCTCTTTCTTGCTTGATTGCCCTGTTTAATTTACGATATATGACAAACAACCTACCAAATCGGATTGCTTGCCGAGTGGGTCTCTGTGCCTGCTGCATGTGTATCGATCATGTGGTGTGGTCTTTGGTGCCAACCAAACACGCTCCATGACTCATGGACTCATGATGCATGGCAGTGGCTTAGCAGCAGCGACCACACTTCTCTTCCCTTCCCTTTCCCTTTTTGTTTGTACTTGAACCACAGTAACCAAAAGAGAGCAGAGCTGCTTAAACTAACCCAACAGCTCAAACTTTAGCTTTATCAGGGAATATTTAGCGCATCCAGCGATGCCTGTACGGGCCGACATGATAGGTTGCGTCTTTCTCTTCATGCTGTCACACACAACATCTGTATTCTCTAGCCACTTATTATCTTGTCCAAACAGCAAAATGCCCTCTGTTTTTCACGCACAACTTTAACCGTTCGTTTTATTTAAAAAAATTTTAAAAAAATTTAAAAATATAAGTCATGAGTAAAGTACTATTTATATTTTATTATCTTGTAACAACAAAAATACTAATTATAAAAAAATTAAATAAAACGAACGATTAAAATTGAGCGCGGAAACTTATGGTTGCACTGACGGAGAGAGTAGCAAGTTAGCAGCAACTGTAGCCATTATAGTAGAGCTGTGGAAGCATAGATCATCAATTTTTAGTCGCGGCACATCTTGATGCTATGCAAGATATAGTTATTTAGAACTGACGTGAATTAACAATCACCGGCCTGGCCTGTCAGATTCTGAGGAGTGATTGCTCCTGAGATGTGGCTAGAATCGTCGGTGCTCGTGGCCCCTCGATCACAGTAGGAAAATGCCCTGCCTACCATCGTACGGAATTTCTCCAGCTATTGGACTCGAACTGCACGGCAGATTTCGTGCACTAATATGTTCAGTTTCTGTTGCTTTCAAACCTCCATTAGTTTGATAGATAAGTGGGTAATGTCAAGTATAGCTCACCTGTAAATATATTTAGATAAGTAGATGAGCGGAGCGCATGTACCCTCTATAGTTGGCACTTAGAAAAAGATATCACGTACGGTCTGATGCAGCTAACAACACGAGTAATCAAATAATCAATAGAACTTCTGATGGTAGAAATATATTCTCCTACAATGAGAAACAAAAACCATTATATCCAAAAACTTGGTTCAAGTGCTCGTAGAAAAGGTAGACATACTTAAAAGTTGAAGATATATCTTCTACACTAATTAGGTACCCTAAAGCTCCCATGTCACTAACTAGAAATATTTGACCATTGATTAGGTGAGTTATTCTGTCATGGCTCTTAATCATATTAGGATTTTGTGTTAAATACAAATATGCCATTGGAGATATTACAAACTCTTTAATTTTTATTGTCATGGTGTCTTTTAATTTTTGTAAAAATTTAATAAGTATATGACATTCTGAACCCCCACTTTTCAATCTTACTATTGTTTAATTTTAAAATTCAAAATTAGCAAGCTATTGTAGATTTGTAGAGTCAATAGGAAATGAGCCTAACTTAGTGAGTGGTAGTACACATTAGCCCATAACCAGATACCCACCTTTTGTCCTAAAACCTTTTTCTTACACGGGGCAATTCAAGAACCAGAGGAAGCCACATTTTCCGGACACCGTGGTGACGAGCCGAGTGACAGAAAAAGAGCAAGAATGTTGATCAGAAGGCCGGGCGCACCACCTGCGCGGAATCTCATCACCGGGCATCGATCCATTATCCTCTGCAGCGTCCGCGTCGGCGGTTGGCCTCTCCGCGTCAAGACAAGCCCATGCGACGGCCGGCGCCTTTTTGCCATGTGCCACCCTCCCCGCCCTGCCCGCCGCGGCGTGGGATCGATCGATCGATCGATCTCGTCGTCTCCTATTCTCCTCTGCTTTCCTTCGACGCGCGGTCGGTCGGTCGGTGCCCACTCCCAAGTCCCAATCACCAATTCACCTCACCGGCGCGCGGCGCGCCGCGTGCTTCACCGGTTGGACCCCCTGCTGCCACGGCAAACGGCCCGCCCGGTGCATATGCGCGCTCGCGCGCGCGGGGGCGCGGGGTGGCGGATCGGTTGGTTCCATCCACCCGTCGCACCAGTGCACCACCGGCGCGGGCGGGCCGGGTGCGCCTGCTGCTCCACGCCACACCCACACATGTTTCCCGAGCACTTTTTCTCGCGCCTCTCTGCTCCGTGGTACTGTGCCACACATCTCGTCACCTCGAGCTCCTTTTTCTGGCTTTCTTTGGTGCCGTTTTCCCTGCGTGCTCGTCACCACCTTCCGTGGCACGCGACGCCGACGGCTGTGGCTCCGCATAGCAGCCGCCTGTACGCGCGCCGCACACGGACTAACCGCGTCAAATTGCAGGAACCGGGGCTGCGTTGCGTAATAATCTCGCTGGCTCTCGCCGCCATCTTTGGTGTACGTGTGGGCGGCGAACTAGTACGTCTCTCACCGTCACCAACGCCAAGACGCGCACACAAACCATGCCCGCCCGTCCCTACCATGTACTGTATAGATCGTGTGGGCTAACACGTCCGGTTTTCCGTTCTTTCCAGGGTCGCACCATCCCGCTGACCGTGACGCGACCAATCCTAGTTTCTTTCGCTGCTTAATTCGGTTTTGTCCACTTGCCCTGGTTGCCTTCTCGTCAGCTACTAGCTACTAGCTAGAGAAACTTAAGTGCGATTTTGAGGGAGAGAATAGTGGAGACTAAAACAAGTGCAATGTCGGATTCAGGCAAACTCGGTACAACCACTGAACCGCACGACCGGTGGACGCGATGACCGCCACGGAAGTTCTTTTAAAATCTTGATATGGTCTCCGGCATTTTGAGTACCCGAGGATATGACCTACCAGGATGCAGAGTCAAGATCCACTGAGTCTGAACCTTGAAGACTTTTTTATTTTAGATTGGCACACGAAAGGTGAGCGACCTTTCTGATGTCATTCCATCGATTACTGCTGAGAAAAAAAAGAACATCCCTAAACACAGAAATTAGAACAGTTCGTAGTTTAGGGTGCCCTGTTGCAAAAGTAATGAACGACAGACACAGAAAAGTAGTAACCGATAAGCCTGATAGATATAGCTAGCTAGCAGTATGGATGGAGCAGCACAAATGGATCATGGATGTCATCTTTAAAGGAGCTAGATCTCTGCCTCACGTAGCAGTAGCTGGCCCTAAATCCTAATGCACCATATGTTCACACCCCAACTAGACGTGTGTGTACCAATTCCTCCCGGAACAATCCTGTCCAGTGGTACTGAAAATGATAGCCATGTACTACATGAAGAGGTACCACACGTATATACATAATACTTCCATGTGATCAGGCTGGCCTTTAGCTAAGCTCTAGCCAATCTGCACCAACCACACCTTAGCTTGTCCCGGAATATCCAGCAATGCAAAATCCAATCTATCCGAAAGCCATGAGAGTATGAGACCAACTTAATACTAATGGCCTATACCTGCATAATCAAAAGAAGTTCATTAGGATCAGAGCTAGCTTACGGATCACAGTGACACATGTGCCAATGAGAGGAGGTATATTGCACGAACGTTGATCGGTGCCTGGGCCCCACTATGCTTTCTTCTACTCCACCACTACAGTAGGTGATAGGTGACAGGCCGGGTGTTTGAGTGTTAAAAACTGTTAATGTGTTAATGAGGTGAGGCCACGGTACTAGGCATGGGAACGGTAGGTTCCCGTCGCTGTAAAACTTTGGTGATTCATGGTCTCTCCACCTACTGTGGCTTTTACTACCTAGCACTAGCTAGATGGAAATTTAGTATGTTGCTGCTGTATTTTGGCAATGTAAACTAAATTGTAGATTGGTGAAGAGATCAGTTTTGCTTTTTTAGGTGAGGAAGAGATCAATAGATAACTCTTTACGATGGACCATTTTCCGACCAATCCTCATCTTAGCAAACCTGGTTTTACACTCTTGCAAGTAACTTCTATGTTACAATAGTTGGTGCTTGCTTCCTGCTTCCACCATATTATGAATTCTATGGGGTTGGTATGAAACTGTCCATTTGTGTCATGGACCCATGGTCGCCTGGCCAGACAACAGAAACCAACGGCAAGGGATTCAGGTGTCCGTGGTTGATGTTGCCGAGGGGCAATGGCTAACGTGCGTGCATCTTTTTATGCCCGAAATGCCGGTAGGCTTATCATGGGGCGAGTTTCTGTGTTCCCAGTTGATTGCTAGAATATTTGGCTTTTGAGGTGAAATGTACTGAGATGGAATCTGATGCCAGACAGAAACCCATATTTTGGTGAAGTTGTTTAGCATCGTATTCTCCCTTCGTTTCCTAAGATATTTCCATGGGCCGTCAGTGTTTTATATATCAGATCGACAATATTTTAGAATGGTAATAGTGCAAGAACCGATATTATAGTCTATTTATAAAGATTGACAGTGGATTCATATCTGGTTATTCGGTTTTGTTTTGTGCTTTTATAGCATAACCAGATCTAGTTTGTACTGTAGCAGCTAACAAGTGGGTCTAGCCAGATTTATTGTTGCAGCATCTGGGTGTTTCCTAAATACTTTTTTTTTCTGAAAAGGATCGTACATATTTTAATAACCATTGGAAATATAAGTAACTCGAATCTAAATTTTCCACCGATCTTAAAGTTATTTTCATCATAATCTTTCGTACAACTGAAAAGCTCTGTATACATATATTGAAGTCAAAATGATTGCGCCAGGTTGCCAACACCATTTAATCTGATGTTCTTTTGCATGACAACAATGTAGTAGGAAAGATAGATTTTTTAAATAAGTAGGATTAAGTGTTGCTTTCCTCCCTGCAGCTTATGATCCTCGTGGACGATGCTGGCGCGTTTCTTCCAGCAATTAATCACTCGCCATGGGACGGTGTAACCCTGGCTGATTTCGTCATGCCCTTTTTCCTTTTCATTGTTGGAGTCGCTCTAGCTCTAGCGTACAAGGTACAGGATGACAAGGCTAAGATCGTGATATTTAACTTCCTTTCTGAAACTAACACCGTACCAGTGACACTTATCTGAAACCTAATTGCGTCACGTTGTGCAGAGAGTGCCAAACAAATTGGAGGCAACCAGAAAAGCAATTCTCCGTGCACTGAAGCTGTTTTGTGTTGGTCTTGTTCTTCAAGGTATCAGTTAGGAAATTCATGAAAGCTACTAGCTACAATTATTGTAGGAAAATATGTATTTAACTTTCTCTTGCTTCTATATTATGCAGGTGGATTTTTTCATGGTGTTCGTAGTCTAACTTTCGGAATTGATATGGAAAAAATACGGTTGATGGGTATACTACAGGTATACGGCACACGCCATTTTATACCACCAACACTTTCTCCATCAAGAATAAAAATTATAGTATATAATGACGTATCTTCGTGGTTGCAGAGAATTGCAATAGCTTACATTGTGACCGCGCTATGTGAAATTTGGCTCAAGGGAGATGATGACGTAGATTCTGGATTTGATCTGCTAAAGAGAAACCGTTATCAACTGTGAGTATAAAAACCAAAACCGGTCTAATTTTTTTGTGCTATTGTTCTTCACGTTGATGAGAAATTAGTCCTCTTATTCACCTTAAAATATCGTCCACTTTTGTATTTCCAGGTTCATTGGCCTGATCGTCATGATCACATACATGGGCTTCTTGTATGGTACCTACGTTCCTGACTGGGAGTATCGGATATCCGTTCCTGGTTCCACAGAGAAATCTTTCTTTGTAAGTGACACTCCACCTTTATCTTATACAGTACAAGTGGATCAATTACTACTAACAAGGATGGGAACTGATGAATTTTAAATTCAAAATCTTTATCAGGTGAAATGCAGCGTAAGAGGCGACACTGGACCAGGCTGCAATGCTGTTGGCATGATAGACCGCAAAATCTTGGGCATTCAACATCTGTACTGTCGACCGGTTTACGCCCGATCAAAGGTACTAATGAAAAGCAACAGCTTGAATCTGTGTGTTCTTCCTCATGTACAAATTCGGTCCATAATAACAACTGCTCTCTCCTTTGACAGCAATGCAGTATAAATTCACCACAAAATGGACCACTTCGTCCTGATGCTCCTTCATGGTGCCAGGCCCCTTTTGATCCTGAAGGGCTTCTCAGGTCACTGGACCCTTGCCATCATAATAAATCTGTCTTTAACTATCTTTCAGGCTACAACAGTACAACATTTCCTTTGCAAACTTTGCTAAATTCTCACTGTTCTTTCTTGATTCTCGTATCAGCTCTGTGATGGCTATCGTCACCTGCTTGATTGGTCTACAATACGGGCATGTAATCGTACATTTCCAGGTACAGTAGTTCGCTGATATGTCAGATTGATGAGCGTTTGATTTTGCAGTCCACATTGAAAATACTCTGAACTTCTCTCTGTTCTGAATCGATTTGCAGAAACACAAGGAGAGAATCATGAAATGGCTAATCCCCTCCTTCAGCATGCTAATCCTTGCGTTCTCATTGGACTTCTTTGGTAAGTAATACATTGTAATCTTCAACATTTCATTCCTAATCATCAGGAGCGTTTGAACTGACCGTTATGCTGATGAACCTCTCCAGGAATGCATATGAACAAGCCACTGTACACCGTGAGCTACGCCCTCGCCACCGCCGGCGCCGCGGGCCTCCTGTTCGCCGGAATCTACGCGCTGGTCGACATGTACGGCCACCGGCGGCCGACCGCCGTCATGGAGTGGATGGGGACGCACGCGCTCATGATCTACGTCCTGATCGCGTGCAACATCCTGCCCATCTTCATCCACGGCTTCTACTGGAGGGAGCCCAAGAACAACCTTGTAAGTTTTGCTGCAACACTGACGATGAACATCATTTTCCAGATAGATTTCACTGCAAAATAACATCTCTTCTAACACGGCTACCTGGCTGGCTCCATTTTGCGCAGTTGAGGTTAATCGGAGTTGGGGCATGATCCATGGATGCAGCAGCTAGAAGCCTAGAAGGCACGTATAGAGGCGTATTTAGGACACTATTTGGACAGAGACAAACGAGACATGTGCAGGCCTAGTTTTGCTACAGGCTTAGTTATTGTTGCACAGATTCGTTCTCTCTGAGAGCTCTTTGTATATGGTAAACAACGAGCCTGTGTATATCATGACAATACGATCTAAAAGAAATATATAGTACAGAAAAAATTTTCAGCTGCACAGTTTAAATATGAAGAGCTGCATGACACTACCTCCATATTTAAATATGTAAAACAATGCTGATTTTTATCGGTCTTTGTTATACAATTTTGACAACTATTTTTCTATTAAAACATACTAATATTTTATAATTTTATGTTTTTTAAGAGTTATTAATGGTTAAAGTTTTAAAATTTTGACTGAATAAAGTCAACGGAGTAAGACTTTTTAGTCAGGATAAAATCTGTTTATTGACTATGGCCCTGTTTCTTTCAGCTTTGGATTATTATAATCTAGATTATTAAGTTAGATTACTATAAGCTAGATTGTTATAATCTGTAGTAGAATAAGCGGTTAGCTGTTTCTTTCCTAGATTATTGGATTTGCAAGTCTAAAGAGGGAGTGGGATGGCATGGTGGGTAATTTTTCACCCAATAATCTGGAAAAGGCTCACCTAAATGAGCTTATCGGATTATAATAAGCTACTTTAATAATTTTTCTGTTTCTTTCAGCTTACTCTCAATAATCTGGATTAATAATCCCAAAGCTGAAAGAAACAGGGCCAGGGAGCTTCTGCAGTTTTTTTTTTAGAAAAAAAAAACATTCAGCCTTTAATTGATGAGGGCGATATTTTGGTCCAGGACGTGTGGGCTATGAAAGTATGAATCCTCGTTTCAGTCAAGGCAAATGCTAGCCGAATAGTAGCCCAACATAAAAAAAGTCCAGTTGGCTAGTTTGGGCCAAAATTAACTCACAAATATCTCTGTTACTAATTTTACTGTTACCTTCGTGTTGAAATATAAGAGATTTTACCTATTTACTACCCAATTAAAATCCCTTATGTTTTATTTTAGGATGGGGTGGTAACTACCTTAGGACGGGGGTAGTATGCGTAGCCTTTACGGCCTGGAATTACTGACTTGTACAAAATGTCAAACGCATACAATTGTACACAAGTATACTTCTCTAATATGTGCTGTGATACACCATTTACACCGATCGTAAGCCGCGGCAGCACATAAAAAAGTCCATTTTTTCTGACACATAAAAAAATCATTCATATTTTTTTTGATGGAATAAGAATGTAATCTTGCTCATAACGAAAATGAGACTCTCGGCCGAGCAGAGGTTCCTCGCGCGCGACGAGACGACGGTGGCTTTAGCTAAAGCTAGCTATCGGCGAGCGCGATGAGCTGGTCGACGACGCCTGGTTCGGCGAGCGTGCTGGTGTCGCCGAGCTCGTCCAGCTGCCTGGACGCGATCTTCCGCAGGATCCTCCGCATGATCTTGCCGCTCCGCGTCTTCGGGAGCCCCGGCGCCCAGTGGATCTTGTCCGGCGCCGCGAACGCCCCAATCTGCCACAAGAAACAAGTGAAGGTATTATGCATCATCAGGTGAAAACTCCACAGTTGAAAACAGTAGTTGACGTGTGCGCGTCTTCCACGGGGAAAACGGCTGAGAGCAATGCAGCAGGAGAACAACACTGTATCACCATCAGTGTAAAGTCTGAAGAAAATACCTGGCTGCGAACAGTCATAACGAGGCTTTTCCGTAGCTCATCGCTGTAAGGAACACCGTCCACCAATGTCACGAAAGCGTAAATTCCCTGGCCTTTAACCTGAAACGGGCATTGCTGATTTAAGACCTGGTTTTTCGTGGAACTAGGGGAGAGGGTGCAGAAACATGGAGCCAACACAAAGGAGCAAGATGTAGGTATAGGGATGAACCTCATGGTCAATTCCAACAACAGCGGCCTCGGCGCATTTTGGATGTGAAACCAGAGCAGACTCAACCTCTGCTGTCCCAATCCGGTGGCCGCTATGATTTTTTTCAGAGAAGGGTCAATTACTTATAGCTTGATTTTTTTTTCTGAGAAAACTAAGCATTGAATTGAAATCAAGAATAAGCATGAATAGAATAGGTTGCTGAATTACCTGACATTGATAACATCGTCAACCCGTCCAGTCAGAAAATGGTATCCATCTTTGTCCCTGGCATTCAAATTACATTTGCCAGTGTGTAAACATCCGGTAATTCTGCAAAGCTGTATATTCCACTCATTGAAGAACTATTTGATTGAGTTACCTGCTGCAACCATCACCGGAGAAGTAATAGCCAGCAAATGGCTTGAAGTATGTGGTTTCATATCTGTCCTTGTCTCCATAAAGTGTCCGGAAAGCCCCAGGCCATGACTTCTTTATGCAAAGGTATCCGCTGCATTCTCCTTCCATTTCCTTCCCTTTCTCATCTACTATTACTGGCTGTCAATCACGTGCACAGTAATTACAACATAAGAGAGGTGATTGAAATAGTATAACAAACTCACTTCAAGTAAAAAATGTATACCAAAGGTCAGTCATTGTATACCTGTACACCGAAGAAAGGAAATGTCGCAGATCCGGGTTTCAGAGGCCAAGCGCCAGGTAAAGGAGTGATCTGACAGAAATAAACATTGAATTTCAATTTGATTCATCAGATGCAACTCACTTTAGAATCACCGAATTTCTCACTAGATATGTAAAGACACAATTACCATAAAACCACCAGTTTCAGTCTGCCACCAAGTGTCTGATATTGGGCATCTTGCATCACCAATAATATCATAGAACCATCTGAAATGAACAAAAGAGAATGTAAGACCTTTTGAGTATATTATAATTTTTGACCCAGGAATCATCACAAACCTCCAAGCAGTGGGATTGATTGGCTCGCCTACGCTTCCTAGAACTCGAAGAGATTTACGAGAATACCGAGTAACATACTGCAAATACATCAGAAAATCATAAAGGATACACAATGAGCCATGAACATAAACTGAAACAAAGCAAACATCAGTTATAAATTTCACTCTGGAAGAAATGTTCTTGTGCAGTTATTTTTAAAAACAGTCTTTTGAAACTTGATGAAAATTTGATCAAAGGCGCTCTGATTCAAATGTGGTGGAATGTGTGAAGGAAATAAACAGGACATGTGGTTCAATATTTGTTTGATTTTTTCCCTTGAAAAGTAACTAGGTTCAAGATGTATCTTCGGGTTGTTTCTTTATAATCTTATCACAATGCCATAATATTACATAAATAATTGCTGGATGGCAACAGTCATGGGTAGTAATAACACAAAAAATTAAGAAGTGTACCTCGGTACCATCACGCATGAGTGCACGAATAAGTGTTGGTGCAGTATAAAATATCGTCACCCCGTATTTGTCAACAACGTCCCAACAACGACTAGGATCAGGATAGTTTGGAGCCTACAAGTAGCATCAGCAAAGGCATTGCAAATTACAAACATGGCAGGACTAAAACTAGTCCGAAAGACACACAATTGTTATTTATTGTGATTCTAGGCATAATATCAATTAAAAAGTTCTCTGAAATTACCCCTTCGTAAACAAGAACTGTGGCTCCATTCAGGAGAGGACCATATGTCACATAACTATGCCCAGTAATCCACCCACAGTCTGCAGTGCACCTGATGCAAGTCAAACAGGGAAATCTAATAAGAAATAATGCAGCTTGCAGAAAATTTCCTATTAACATTAGGAACAAGTTTATACTACCCAAAGATGCTAAAAAACTAGCATCATACCAGTATATATCTGATGGCTTGTAATCAAATGCGTGCTTAAATGTTGTTGCAGAGTACACCATATAGCCTCCCGTTGTATGCAATACACCCTGCAGACCTCACAATATGTTAATGTTTGGCCATAGGATAGGCTAACAAAGTAACAAACCATGTGGTTTAGGGTACCTTTGGCTTTCCTGTGCTACCACTTGTATATAGAAGAAACAATGGATCCTCTGCATCTACCCATTCCACATCACATTTTGTTGGAAAATTGGGCACAACATCCTGGGGGACGCACATCATCTCAAATTTTAGTGATATAACATGAAATGGAGGACTTAAAAAGAAATCTTCCAAATAACACAGCTGTTCTGCAGATGTTCTGTTCCTACTTCCTAACACATATGACGTGGCGTGGTACTTTTTGGATAGCATTGAAGTTGTTTGTTTTGGGCGTACCTGCCACCAAACGTCTCTGCCTGACGTCCATTTTGTGTCTTCTCTCTTCATTGCCGACTGATTTTCGTATGTCAAAGAAATGCCTGCTCAGCACAACAAAGATAAGCATGAGGAAACTCCTCAAGAACTGTATCCACAATTACAGAGGGATTCTCAGCATGACATCAGACGAGGCTAATTTAGGCAGTGACCAACTCATAGAAGTCAGATTGTACATACCTACATCGACTCCATTCTTCGCACTGTCAGCCAGCGACACATCTACTATATCTTTGAGAGCTATGAGTTTCTTTCCCCTTTTCACCGCGTTGCACGTAATCACAACCTTAGGCTTGCAGTCAATGATTCTTTGTGCTAGTGCGTCAGCAGAGAAGCCAGCAAACACAACCTGAACACAATTCGGCATCACAATATGAAATGGAACTTCATTAAAAAAGACACATGACAATTAGCATCTTAAACTGCTGTGACAATTACCGAATGAACAGCGCCAATCCGAGCACACGCGAGCATCGCAATGGGCAGCTCCATCAGCATCGGCAGGTAGATCACCACGGCATCACCCTTCCCGACGCCGACGCTCTTCAGGTAATTTGCCAGCTGCCATGCCACAGATTCACACGATCACACCACAACAATTTAGCACAGGACACCAAAATCAACCTCACTTTATACGACGCCACGGAGGCATTACGTGCAAATGTTTCGGCGTATCTACGATAGGAGCGCGTGTGATCTTTACCTGGCAAACCTTGTTCAGGAGCTCGGAGTAGGTGAGCTTCGCGTCCTGGCCGGGCTCGTTCCCTTCCCAGTACATCGCTATCTTCTCGCCGTCGCCAGCCTCCACGTTGCGGTCCACCGCATTGTAGCATATATTGGTCTTGCCCCCTTTGAACCACTGCAAACAAATTCTTAGATTACTCTCGTGGCTCTCATGGCAATCGAGCATCGGATTCAGACAATTGTTCATCATCAGTCGAGAAAAGTGACAGTACTAGCTTACTTCGATCTTGATCGGCCCCTTGGTGACATCCAGATTCTCGGTGCAGACCTCGTCAGGGTTCCACTTGTGCTTCCAGTAGAACGTCTCCGCGATCTCCGACCAGAACCCGGCCGGATCGTCGATCGAACGTCGGTACATTTCTTGGTACTGATCGCCGGCCATGTGCAAAAACACCCGGAACACTCGTCACAACCAAGAACCAAATCGAGTAATCGATAAATTCACAGTGACCAAATTGTTGCAAGAAAATGGGGAATTTAACCCTGGCAACCCAGGGTTTACTACGACTGCGCCGTCGCTGTCTGCCACTCTTGCCTTATCTGCGCCTCTGCGGCCAGCGATGGATGGATCGCTGCGCGCCTCAAATTGAAGGTACGGCCTTTGAACGCGCGATGCGCCGCCAGTTCGAGGGGGAGAGCGAATTGACAGCAACCGAGAGGAAATCGGCAAAGCAGTAAGAAAAGCAGAGAGGCGTGTATCGGCGATCACCTGCTGCGTGGAGGAGACGAGGGCCTGGGAGGCGAAGTCCGTGCTGGGGTGGACGAGGCCGTGGTCGTCGGACGCCGCCACCGGCTCGCCCAGCACGGCCGCCGCGGCGGCGGAGGGCCTCCTCGCCCGCGGCTTGCCGTTACCGCTCGCCGCCGCCGCCACCGCGGCGTGATCGCTCGCGCCCATCGCCCACCCTCCTCGCCGGAGCAGCGGCGGCGAAGTCACGGACATCACCCAAGGTAGAGCCGCAGCGGATGCCTGAGCCTGCGCGGGAAGCGGGATCGCAGCGCGGGCGCGTGCGCAGCCGCAGCTGGCGTATATATGCAGCTGGGCCATGACGGCCACGGCTCACCTCCCCCTCCCCCTGCCCGCGCGCGCTCCAAGCCTCCAACAACAACAAACACCTTTCTGACTTTGCTGCCGGCTTCAGCTGGTGGAGGATGCAAATCAGGCGGGATGGTGGTGGGTTGCGGAGAAACGAAGGCCCCCCCTCTCTCTCTACACTCTACGTATCTCTCTTGGGTTTCTCCTCGTCTTTCTTTCTTCTGGTCGTACCTGGACGTTGGAGCTGACGAGCTGTGCCGCTAGAGCTGGACCTCGCGGCGTGACGCTGTCGCGCGCCCGGTGACGGAAACGGAGGGGGAGACGAGACGAGACGCGCGCGGGGGCCGTGGCCGTGGCCGTTTATATGCAACGCGTGGCGCTCGGAGGCGTGGCGATCGAGGAGGGCCTCAGAAATTTTTTGTCACGTTTGGTTGCGTTGCGTGGACGACCGACGAGGGGGTGGACGACCGACCGGGGGCGGGGGGACGACCGAACGGGTGGACAGGATTCGTGTGGTTTTTGACTTGGGACTCACCGCGGCGGATGCCGTTAAACACGAGCGAACCCGACTGGGGTTCACATCGTCTGCCTTTCGGGCTGACGGCAAACATTGCCGTTGCATGCATCTGTACCGCACATTCTTTCATTAACGGTTGTATATAGTGGTCCTACCACAGAGATTAAACTAGATGCGGCTTTGCCGCATAATAGACCAGCCAGGATGAAATACTCCATCCGTTTCATATTGATCATCATTTAACACAAATTGAAATTTTCAAATTGATCATCATGTTATCATAGCCCCTTCGTTTGACGTGTAATATTATTGCATTTAAGCATGAAAATTGAGTATGCATGCATGTATGTAGGAATTCGAGGTAGTAAAGCTATCGTTTCTTAGAGCAAGTTTAATAAGATAGTCAACCACTGACTCCAAATCATCTATAGTCAATTTAGTAGGAAATTCATATACTCCTATAAACATTACTACACAATTTATACTTGGTCGCACCTGTCATACACACATGTATCTGGGAGTCTGTACTACAGCTGGCTACAAATCTATAGCCCACTGCTCTTCTCTCTTCTGTTTTATCTCCTCAAAATGTGTCAATAACTGGACCTGCTCTTATGTATGGGGCCTAAGAGGAGTTAAAGTGTGCATGTTTCTTGATTTTTCCCTACCACATACTCACATTAAATGAAATATAGGAAAGTTAATCCTTTTTTTTCTTGGTGAAAAAGTTATATGGTAATGAATATGGAATGGAGGGAGTAAATGATATGGTATGATAAGTAGACTTAATTTCTTTATCTATTTAATGCCTGAAATTATGGAAACTATGCCCTTTTATTCATATATTAATTTAAAGCAGCGAGACATTGAATTCATAGACATAAGTTGGAAGTCGAATATATGCGCACAAATTCCAAATTCCAATGAAACCAAAGTAATGAAACTACTTACTCCCTTCTTCTAAAAGTCTAAAACTTATTCCATTCTTAGGTTTTTCCAAAAGTTTAAGTCCTATTTATAGTCATTATGTGTTAAATTAAATTATTGATCAGAACCCAATAAACTATTTTATTACTTATTGGTTGCATGTTTATTGCTTTTGTCACATTGTAAATAAATTAATTACTCCTTGGTCTTGGTGCCAAAAGAAATAATCCCTCCGTCCCAAAAAGACTCAATTCCTGAGTTTTTATGTCTAACGTTTGACCGTTCGTCTTATTTGAAAAAAAATATAAAAAAAAATTTAAAAGATAAGTCATGCATAAAGTACTATTCATGTTTTATCATCTAACAATAATAAAAATAGTAATCATAAAAAATTTTCATATAAGACGGACGGTCAAACGTTAGGCACGAAAACCCAAGAATTAAGTCCTTTTGGGATGGAGAGAGTAGGTCTTACTTTTGGATGGAGGGAGTATTTTCATTTTATCTCCTGGCGGAGCTAAAAAGATTTTTTTGAGCCCAAGCAAACTATACTTCTTGTATTTGTTATATAAATTTCATCATCAATTCATTCAATAACATATAAATTTAATGGAGTTTTTGTCAGTGAGCTTGCGCGGCCGCTTGCGATAGCCAGGTGTGGCTTCACCCCTGCCTCCACATGTCTATAAAAATCAAGAAAATCCTTTTTTTAAAAATAATTTATCTTCTTATTCTTTAAACATAACGTTCTAAAAGTGCATAACATTAAAAAATTCTATTTGCACAATAAAGAAGGGTAAGGAATTAATTATTTGTTTGAAAATTTGGAATTGCGTTGAGCTCAAGCTAAAGCAAAAGATACTGGTGCCTCCTTATTCTCTTCTACTACTTAATTATATCCTGAATACTCCATCAAAAAATTATATCCTGGATAAATGATTACAAAGAGTCCTTATCTGCCCATTGCAACTTGTATGTGCAGCCGAACTGTGGTCTCCACCGTTTGGCTTATTTTCTAATAAGCCAAAACGGCTTATTAGAAAATAAAAATAAATTTGTAGATAAAACTTTTATAAATGTGTTCTTGGTGACTTAAAAACCAATGTTGAAAAAGAAACTATGTTGAAAATATCTCAAAATCAATCTCAAAATTAAGCTTGAAAATTTAAAATTTGGCTTTTTCTTTGGCTGATTAGGCCATCTGATGGGAGCCTGTAAGTGTCAACTGAGAGCACAATCAAATCAAATGATATAATAATATCTTTAGTTTTTCTCACCTACACTATTTGAATGTAATGTTCACTGTTTTTTTCATTTAGATGGCAACGTCATGCAAAAAACAGAGCCGTCCGTCTGTACATTGATCTAGCGTTCTTAGAGCAGGTACAATAGCAGACTATAAGCTAGCTATAGACACATTTCAAGAATATATAATAGGAGAGAGAAGAGCAGCGGGCTATAAATTTGTAGCCAGTTGTAGCATGAACTCTAAGATACTTGTGTGTATGACAGGTGGGACCAACTATGAATTGTGTAGTATACGTTTATAGGTACTATTGTATGAATCGGCTATTAAATTGACTATAGATAATTTGGAGCCAATTGTTGGCTATACTATTAAACTTGCTCTTACGTTGTCTTCAGTTGCAGGCTTGCAGCTAAATAAAGTCTTTTTTTTGTCCTTCCCAGTCCCTAGTCCCTGCTCCTAGTCGTCGACGACTCCGCTGCTCTCCAGTCTCCATTCCTCAATCTGCTTCTTGCTCCTCGGCGTCTCCATCTTCGCCGCGGTGCCGCTGCTACAACGGACAGTATATGGCCTCCTTTGCAGGAAGTTCGATGGCGCATGCGTCTACAAGATCAAAGTAGCGCCGTCAACATGAGCGAGGAGAAGTCTGCGATGCGCTCCCTGTCCTCCACCTCCTGCAATCCCTCCTGCTCCTCGGGCCGTTGGCGGGTGGTTCACCGCGGCGTCATAGCCATGACGTGTAGGTGACAGAGGATCCGACGTGACGCCATCGCTCACCCGTGCACGCCGCCTCCTCTCCTCCGCTAGCTAGCGCCCCCTCCCTTCTCCTGATCCGGCCTCCGGGTCGACGGCCACCACCGCCGCTCTTCTCTTCATTGGGCTCAACGGATCTTGCCGAAGTTTGTATCGGCGACGGCTATCGCGTGCTTGAGGTGACTCCTGCAGCATGGCGACAGCCCCGTGCGTCAAGGAAGGGCAGCAGCATGGCGGCAGGGAGCGCAAGGGAGGGCGAGGTGGCCGGGCGGTGGTGAAGAAGACGAGCCCGCGCCTTGAGGGAGGACATGAGCGGGTGGTCCGCTGCGGCGCGCGGGTGGTGGAGGATCCGGTGGGCGGTGAGGCGTGCATCGGGAGGAGGGATGGGTGGATTAGGGGTCGAGCGCTTTTGCGAGAAAAAATCAAGCTTCGTTAGTCCATCACAGCGAACTTTCGGGGAGAAAGAAGACACGTGGCAGATTTTCGGGGAGGAGAAGCTTAATTTATAGGACGCCACGTGGCTCAATCTCTAACCAGGGATAGAGCCCTGAAATCGGTATTAGAGATTAGAGACCTACTAATCGGTATTATTAGTTATTTCTCTCCAAAACAAAATTAAGCAAATAGAATCCTCTTTTATACGAAGAGACTACAATAATCTACAGGCCTAGAACAAGCTCGGTATATCTTTAATTATTTTAGGTGGGTTCTTCCTAATACATAACCGTAAATTTTCTAAAAAAAGGAAATTAAAATGAAAAAAACAGAAAAATCTAGACATTTCTCATATTACAATTTAAAAATACATATAGGAATCTAGACATTTTTCAACGCAAAAGAGCTACGTCAATATATTACTGCACTTAAAATTTTATACAGCCGTAACTTACCGATTAGTGACCTCTAATTAATCTCTCTGGTAGGGCCACTTCATACAACCATTGATGGAAGAACGTGTGGTACAGATGCATGCAACGGCAATGTTTGCCGTCAGCCCCAAAGGCAGACGATGTGAACCCGACTGCGTGAGATACGGAGACGGGCGTGTGCGCCCGCTTCGCTGGGTTTTGTCGCGAGCGCCCTGCCGTTTTGGTGGCGCGTGCGTGCGTGCGTCCTCGATCGTGGCATTCGTCGTCACTGACGTAAACGTTTGCCACTTGTCTAGAACGCGAAGTAAAGAATTCGTAGTTCTCCTGCTGCTTTTGAGTTCTCGGCTTTTCTCGCGGCTCGACCGAGGCAGTGGATCCGCAGTTTTTTTTTAAAAAAAACGTATGGAGTTTGTTAATCCGCGATCCTTGGAACGGCCACAGACCTGAGCACGAAGTTTAAAGTGTTGACATGATCAAGGATTCAAGGGGCTCCTCTGAAGCCGTGGCACCGGGCCGCGCATACGGTGTGTACCCAACCTGTGTGCGACTCGAGGGAAAAGAAAACCCACGGCACAAACGGCTTTCCTGCACGGTCCCTAGTGTACCAGCTTCTGACAGTAATGGCACGTACAGTAGGCACCAACGCATGCGGCGATGATGGAGCCCGCGCGGTCGGTCGGATCAGGACATGAACACGTGTAGGACACTCCCTGTGCTGTGTGCGGCTGTGACTGTGCGTGCGCCCACGGGTATCTTCTCCGAATCGTGCAGTCGCGGAGTCGTCGTAGGCTAGTAGCAGGTGGCCTCCCTTCCCGGCACACGCTGCAACCTGCGAAATACGCGATGCGATCAATTCCATTTCCATCTCGCTTCGCCTCGCGCGCGGCCGGGCCACTTGCGGCCTTGCGGGATCTAATCTTTCCCTTCCCCGTGTGTACCCGCGCACACAAACTTGGTGGCGGCGTCCGCTAGCTGCTCTGCCCCCGGAGACTCCACTCCCTGTGTCGGAAGACGCCGTCGCGAATT